ATGTGTTGCAAACTTGTTGTTCACTTGGTGTTCACCCTCTCTTAACATAGCATTATGTAAACTACCTAGCTAACATTAATGTCAAGATATTGTTGTCATAGAGACATCGTACCCACGTGTAGCATGTCATTGATAAAAGTGCTGGGAGCCCTTTTTTTGAATAAAGTGCCAGGATGAAGCAAATGCTAGGTGGTCATAGGCCCTAAGTCTTACAGACAGGTTAGATCTGGATTACAGAGATAATTGCAGGTTGGTTCTGTTTCTGAGCTTTGTGAATACTGGGTGGGTTTGAAAACATTGGTGGGCCTCAAGTCTATACTCAAACTAGGGACAACACTGTTTAGTGGCATACATCTAAATCATGTGAGGGACCAGAATATCTAACAAGTACGTTTGCATAAGGTTGTGTTCCTTCCCCCTTGGTAAAGTTTGTGCACCTCTTAACTGTATACACTGTGTGTGTGTTTGTTCTTCTTTGGCCTCTTTCTGTGTAGAATGTGAGCAGGGTCTGTGTCGACCTCAGCTTTCTGTTATCACAGGAAGAGGGAACCACAGCCAGGGGGGCGTGGCCCGCATCCGCCCCGCCGTTATAGACTACCTCACCAACAAGCACTATAGGTACACACACACACACACACACACTCACTCACACATGCAAAACACACGTGCACAACCTGTTCATCGTCGCCCACCTTTTCTCTTATCTCTTTATCTCTCAGGTTCACTGAGCCAAAGCCAGGTCTCATGTTGGTCTTTTTGAAGTGAGAGGAACCTGGTTTATTGGATTCAAGCTAAAGCTGCTATGGAGGACAACACACACACGCACACACAAACACACATACACTGTGTCTCTCTCTGTCGCTCTATAGTTCTACAACACTACGTATACATTGACTACAGTTTATACAGTATAGTACACCTCGTTTCGTACTTCTGTCAGTCAGTTTTGGTCCTTTTTTTTTATTAACTCTCTCTCCGTCTCTCTTTCCATTGGTCTTATGGCCACCAGAAATTTAACTTAATCCCAATCTTAATCATTGTTAAATTGAGGCTAATTTTTGTTAAAATCTTAATCCTGATTCAGATCATAATAAAAATAGTTCTTCTTTTTGTTTATGAAAGATAACTGCATAGGTGTCAAACACAAATAAGGTCTTCACATGCAGTTGTAATGCTAGAATGTATGTAAATTTTACACTTAAAAATGTTTTATATTGTGGCGCATTTTGCTTTACATTTATCTTCATGTCTGTTAAAGAGCATGAAAAATCCCTGTGTTTTGGTTGGTTTTTAATCCTCATTAATCGTCAGTATTTGCTAATCTGGAGTCATGTTTGAGAAATAATGTGAGGATTTTAGGAAACTGTTATAGAATCATGACGGCATACTGTCTACTTGGAGGTTGCCCTCTAGGATTTTAAGTAATATGGCGTCCCTTTTTGAGACACACTTTAAGCATTTTATTTGACGCCAATTCTACATTTAATGCATGCCATCGAATCAGAGAAGTTATCGCAAAACCAAATGCTGAGAAGGAAGAGAATTTTTTCTCTCTCTTGTTTGCAGTGTTATAGTTCGTCTTGCTCACCAGGAGGCGAGACTGAAACTCTTGATGATAGACAATGAAAAAGCCACTAAACAGGTTGAACAACCTCATTTAATAGTCAGAACACCTCCTCTGAGAGTCCTGAAGCAGTCTCCTTTGTCTTAGCAGCTACATTATACTGCAACTGTTCATTTACTAAAGGCCAAGCAGAGCGTAGCTGCTAATATATTGACTCCCAAACTCAGGTAAAGATTTAGCATTTGTTTTAGCATATAGGTTTCTCTTTTGAGGCGTGTCGATTGTTTCCACCCTGTTCCTGGTTGCTTTTATTTGAACCCATTGTGCCAAATTTAAATGTAGCAGTTGTATTCATCAGGATGCTACATTATTTTTGTAGGTTTGATATAGCTTCTGATGTTTTTCAGAAATATGCAACAACCATGTTGACAAATTTTACTTATTGTACATAATGTTGTGAACACATGAATTATAAAGAAAATATTGTATTTTTTTATTCATTTGTTCAAATGGTTTTACAGAGAATATTGTATTGTGAAATAAACTATTTGTTTACTGTTTAAGACTTGTGCATTTATGAGTTTACATGAATAGTGGAAGAAATAAGCCTGTGTTACTGCTGTTGTAACAAAGCAAACCATCACAAAACTCAGATAACCCGTTTTAGGCATTTTAAAGTGGTACGGATGCTGAGAAAGAGGGAAATTATAATGTTTGCAATTTACAATGGTACTTCTTACAAGTCAAAACAAAGACATCATGTACTTCACTTTATAACTACTGTTTCATAGCTTCCCCAACATATGCAGTTTGGACAATTTCTTTATGAAGCCAGATTTGAAAAGGATCTTTAACGTGGACAAAAACCTCACATCCCATTCACAGATTTTTTATTGGACTTGAGAGGTTTGAGAACTCCTGTGAAGGATGTCAAATTTAGAGGTGACTAAGTGGGACGTAATGGAGGATTTCAAAACAAAAAGAATGTGTCTTGTTATCATGGGATAGCCAGAATTTTTCTCACTTTGATGGCAGCAAATCATGAACTACTCAGATATAAATTAAAATGCAAACTGAGTCATTGGCAGAACCATATCAGCATTAACTCACAATGTATTTGGAACATTGCTAATGGCATAAAAAGAGCAATACATGTATGTAAAACACTGTTGAAAAGGGCACTCCACTGATTTAGCATTACGTTAATTATTGTCAGACTCGCAACTGACAGTTTTAAAAAAAGGATAAAATTCACTGAAGTACAACTAAAGATACACATTTTCTATTCAACACATCCTTCTTTAAAACATTGACTGTAAAATAATGGGTGTAGCTAATATGACATCACCCATTGGTGTGTGGACTCCTGTTTGGAAGCCTTGAGTTTTGCATTTTTTCTGTTGCCATCTTGGATTTTTGGAGACACAAGTGACCATATCTGGATAGAAGGGTGTAGTAGGGGAGGAGCAAGGGGTGGATTTGTCTGAGAGTCCTAAGACACTATGCACATTAGCCTGTCACTCAAAGCAGACACACCCTTATTAAGCATAACTGAAGGTCCTAATAATATTTAAAGAAATTACTTATATGAAAATTTGCCTCATGCTGCTGTCAAGAATGAGACCAAATCCTTATTTTTGTATCAGGCTGTAAACATGTTTATTTTTGCTGTTAAGTTGGGCACTTTAATAAAGGGGTCTATGGGATTGACTCGCTGTATGCGCCAGCCTCCAGTGGCCATTTTAGGAACCGCAGCTTGTAGCACTTGGGCTGGCTTTGTGTTTCAGCCCCACAAACAGACCCCCAGGAACGGCGCAGCGCTTTTAGGCCAATTTGACAGAGTGGCCAAACATGGAATTACAACTTCTGCTTTCATCACGTGATGCCATGGGGCCTAAAAAGACTTATAGACTTACATTGTAAAAGAGGCATCTGTAAATACATTTTTTTTTGAGTGCCACAACCCCTGTGAAATGATTTGTTTTACTATCGGGATTTGATGCATTTGATCCAATATATTTCTAAAGTATAGAAGAATTGCACAATTCAATCATTTTATCCCCATTCCAGTTAGCGGAGTGCTAAACCTGAAGTTAGCCTCTTGGCTGGCAGAAGTGTCTAGTGTGTTTGCTCTCTGGAACTACCTTTGCGGAAGATCCGAGTAATTTCCTAACCCATTAACACACAATCAATCTTAAAAAACATCTGCCCGCCCCAGCGTCCATCCCCACAACTAAACCACTCTTACATACACATATGTCATCAACAACACTACCTAAAAAACAAAACAAAAACAACAACATATCAAAAATAATCTTACTGTTAGCACATTTTACATTCCTCCTCCTCATTTCTGTTCCTCACTATTAAACCTTTTTGACTTAATGCGACACTGAGCAACTTTAATTGGAATGAATGGGCCCCTGCATCCTGTGCTGTATACAGTCCTCTTTCATGCCTAGATAACCATCGCCGACTGTCCAGTCGCAGATCTGGCAAATTTAGCTTTGAGCTGCTTGCCTCAAACAGATGAGGAGAGGGGGGCAGAGGTCTGCTAAGCTTACTGCTTTCTAGCTCTCCACCAACAGATTTCTTTCAGCTTTAAACTTGTAGTCTCAGACACAACTAACCAGTGATTGCTCATCCTTAATGTTTGATTTTATTGACATTCATAAAAATCAAACATAAGGTAAAAATAGTCCAAAGATCTAATGCTAATAGTCGGCATGTAGAAGGGGTACCACCTCTAATCCATCAGCTCATCAGTGAACGATCTTCACAGTCACATCATGCTACAATATTTATGAAGTATATTTGGAGAGCGTTAGCAAGTTGTTTATGTGTGTTGATGTCTCATTAGCTCTTGTTTTTGTTTGTAATAAACACAATAAACCTCGTATTAAACCTTGCTCGGGTGCAAAATGTCTAGGTCAGCACTGCAACCCATGCTGACTCAAGTGACATCACTTGAGTCAATCCATCAGCTTTCACGGGCAGCTTTCTCTGGAGCCACAAAACACTGCACAATTTCTTTTTTAATATAGCCTATATATTTTTTACCCATAGGCTACTGTTGTACTCCTCAACAACTCTAACCAGACTTTGATGTGTAAAATTGGTGGAGTTACCCTTTAACAATTCAATAAGAGCGATACAGAGATAGGAGAGATACATAGCATCACATCTTGAGTTGTGGGTTGTTTTCTTTTGATCACATCACTGGTGTGATCACGACAAGAAGTGTAATACCTTTTTAAAAAATGTGTATTTGTACCAGCTGTGAGCTCTGCTGCTCTGTGAAATGCAGATAAAATGGTACAAATCCACAAAGCACAGCTGCTGTGGGGGAGGCGAGCAGAACGTACGAGTCACACCACCACACTTCAACTAGCGGATGTGTTTTACTTTTCTTTTCTCTCTCACTTCCCTCCTCTGTACTCTCCAGCCTCAGCGTTTTGAGACAAGTGCCAAAATATTTCCTCTCTAATAAATACAGACTTTAATTAATGGTGTTTTAGGGCATCCAGTTTGGCAGACTGTAATTAATAACAAACTGTTTCTGGAGTTTTTGGAGGCTTTTTGCGTTTCTGTCCGCACTGTGAAACCTTCAGAGACGGCAGCCAGCATCCGCCCGTTATAGATCAAGAAGACTGACAAGAGAGGTAATTATCTTTTTCTTTGTCTCAATACAGTAGCCTACCGTGTTGCTGAGATCACTGTTCTATTCAACCCTTTTCTATTCTATTCTATTCTATTCTATTTGGAAATTTAATTAAGACTCCATAATGTAGGCAAAAACCTACGCTTGTTTCAACATAAAAACTTCATGGGTTTGTTTCTACTCTCTCATTAGAACAAAAAGATCATTATGAGTGTGTAAAATGACATTTTATTGTATTTAAACTCAAGGAAAAGTATGTTACATGAAGTAAGAAGAGTTTAAACAGTTAAATTAATTTGCACTGAAGGTTTGAGCCTTGTTTTAAGACTTTATTAATTTATAATTTATTTCTCTGACAGTAGACTGAGATTATTAAAGGTTTCTTCCAGTAAGATCATTCAGAAAGTTGAATGGTGGAAAAAAACTGATTAAAATGTCCCATTTACGTGATGGAGGTCTTTCCATCCGTGTGTCATGGCAGGTGGTTTTGAGGTTATGACTTGTTACGTCTGCTACTTTAATACTGTTGTCAAACTGTCAATTTAATGCGGTAAAAAAGTCACAATAAACCACCAGCGGTATTTTGTTGATCATAAAATAAAGAACAATCAAAATGTATATCCATCACCATATCACACAATAACACAGAGAGACATCCGCTTCTAGTATCTGATGTTCGTATATAGGGCAAATGAATCAGGACTGGTTATATAGAGGAGATACATTAGAGTAGACAGAGACAGACAGGTCATATGTAAGACTTTTATAATACAGCAAACATGGATATGTTGTTTATGAGCCTCTGTTAAACTGTTTGGGATCAAGTTGTGAATTCTGGGTCACACCCAAACACACAAATCTTCACTTCCGTATTTGTAACGCTTTATCCTCAATATGTATCACTCAAGCAGTTGACTACTGCTATACTGTTTAGCAGATATTTCTTACCTGTCATGCAAACCGTACTGTATCAAGGGTTACGCAGCTGTCATTTTCTCCGGCAGCCTGCATATTTTATGAGAATCTGTCAGCTGAAGAAACCTAGTATAAGCTTGCAGATAAACGATTTGTTAAAGCAGTTTTAGTTTTGTCTTTTTAAAGTAAGACCATAGAGTTCTTACAGATACTTAATGTTCGGAACATATCTTCTCTTCCACAGTAGATTTCCCATGTCATCTCTTAGAGGTTCGGTCTGTTTGGACAGAATGACAGCCATCATTCGAGAGAAGGGCCAACACCTGACCACGCTGCAGAGAGCCAGCGGAAGTGAGATGAGTCGAGACAGCCTACAGAACAAAGACATTATGTGAGGAGTCTATGAAGCTTACTGCTGGAGAACTGTTCGCTGTACATACCTGCGCCATATGAGAGACGCTTCAGGACGCTGAAAAGAAAGAGACATTAGAGGACAGGTCAACAAGCTGAATGACCACTGAAATCGCCGGGAATGGAGTTACCATAAGGCAGAGCTACAAATCACCTGCTATGAAAATTACCACCTGAACACGGAAGTACAGCACACAGATGAGTGATCGCTGCCCTTGACTACCTCGTGAACGTTGTGCCTCTCCTAATCGGTTAGTTCAAGAGACACTACCCCTGAGACTTTTTCCACAATACTGCAAAACATCTAACGGAGACAGACTATCAGAGGCAACCATGAACAACCTGGAAGAGATGTCGGTGAAGTGTGTCCTGGTCGGGGACAGTGCCGTGGGTAAGACGGCCCTGCTGGTCCGCTTCACCTCAGAGACCTTCCCGGACACTTATAAGCCCACGGTGTTTGAGAACACAGGGGTGGAGGTGTACATGGATGGGGTACAGATCAGCCTGGGGCTGTGGGACACGGCGGGCAATGACAACTTTAGGCAGATCCGCCCAAGATCCTACCAGCAGGCTGACATTGTCCTCATTTGCTATTCTGTGGCCAACCCTAACTCACTGGCCAGTGTCCAGCATAAGTGGATTGCTGAGGTTCGAGATAACTTGCCCAAGGTGCCGGTGCTGGTTGTGGCCACCCAGACAGATCTGCGGGAGACTGGGGCATATCGGGGCAACTGCATCTCAGCAGCGGAGGGGAGACGCGTTGCTCATGAAATCCATGCTAAAGGCTACCTGGAGTGCTCCTCCTTAAGTAACCGTGGTGTGCAGCAGGTGTTTGAGCATGCAGTGCGGACGGCCGTAAACCAGGCCAGGAAACAGGCCAGGCGACGGATGTTCAGCATAAACCAGTGCAAGGTCTTTTGACCTTTGACCTTGACTTTGTGGACACCTCAGCTTTCATGAGAAGACTTTTCTGTAATACTTCTAAGTGTGCTGTTCAAACTCGCTGAGGGCTTGTAGAGGAACATGAACCCAAAGCTGTATTTCTCTTACACATGTGTAGGGTTTTTCTTCACTAACAGGGTGTCCTGCCCCTCACAAGACTTCCCTAAACTCAAACCATATTTAAAATGAGAATACCTTTCATCATTTACACAGATGGAGGATCTACTTCTGTGTGATCCAGAGAGAGGTGAAGAAAAAAAGTGCTTCATTTTTGATTCCTCTGATCTGTTTGTGAAGTGAACCGCAGCACGTCACATTCTTATTTCAAACAAGGCATCTGAGATTTTTGTGTTTCAGAAATACTCCATTAATAACCTAGCTGTGAAAGATTTACTTAAATTGAAGCATTTGAAGCTTTAATATGTTGTTTGTGAATGGATCACAAATTAACCTTTAAATCATTGTGTAAAATGAGTAAGTGCCATTACTACCACAAATAAAACAACGCAGCCAGGTTTTACAGTTGCATGAAACTTTACAGTGCGATTTGTCAAAATCAAACAAGGAAAAGTCTATTCTTATGCTCCTGAAATGTAACTAATATAAAATCAGTAATGGTGAGTGCATGTTGACATTTGTCATCAGTGACTTTAAATCTCTAGAATAAGAAAATGAGGGTGTCAGCTCAGAGAGCCCAATGGGTCCACTTTTGGTGCATCGGGTTCTACGTACAGCATATTCTTTATTACTTCTCCAGAGAGGATAACATTTCATTAGACGTGACCATGACATAAACTGTCGATAGGTCGAAGCGGGATATATGTTTCTCCAGGTTATATGCAATATTTTTATAAATATCTGTCAAATCTATTTAAAAGAAAACTATTTGTATTGTTTGAAATGTTTCCTTAAACATCGGATGCATTGAAATGAAATTTGACGAATCCAAGACACTCAACACATATCAGTCATTAAAAAATACCTTAAAACATTTGTAAAATGCTTTTATTGACAGATACAAGATACAGTATATACTTGAGAAGTGTATTTTATATTAGTAAAGGATCTAAACATTAAAATCAAAAATGTAGAATGAAGTAAACGTAAGTGAAGCATCAAAATGATCTGAAATGTTGACATGAGACGGCATGCCACATACTGGCATCTATTGTGAATTTTTTTGTGAATTGTATTTTTTTTTTTTATTATTATTTAACTGTATACCTCCTTATAGATAATGTATAAAAAATATTAAGACATGACCTACTTCCTATGTATCTTGCAAACTGTCAAAGTTAAATGAATTAAAACTAAGGATTCAACACATTGACCCCGTATTGTTTTATTTATTTATGTACAGTTTTACCCATATTAAATAAAATACTGGGGAAATTACTGAGTAATCTGCGAGTGTTTGAAATCAGTTCCCCAATAATGGCTGTATTATCTCCCTTCGATTTTCCTTTCCATTTTTTTAGGGAGTTTGATTTGAATATAAGTGTGTGTTCATTATGAAAGCCCCCTTTTCTGCCTTTCTTGACTTAAGTTTGTCTGAACCCAAATTTCAAAACCCTATAATCATATAAAAGGTATAATCGGTGGTGGACGTTGTACCTAAAAGACACACTTGAGTAAAAGTTTGGTAGAAGTTAAAGTCACCTATTAGAATATTACTTGAGTAAAAGTCTTAAAGTATATAATATTTACCGTACTTAAGTATCAAAAGTCATTTTATGATATTAAATGTAATTAACTATTGAGTAAAGGTACAAATAAATGCTGAAAATTGAAAAGCAAGCGTCAGAATTTTGAAAATTATGTAGTTTATTTCTTGACATGTACACAACCTTAAAATGGAGCGTCGTTACACTTACACAAGGTCTTTTTCACAAACAAAAATCCAGTTTTTCCATCTCTCCCATTCCTTCATTTGTCAGTCTGTTCCTTCCTCCTTCCTTCTTTCCTCCCTTCCTTCACTACTTTGTAGTAAATAACTAAGATGCTTAGGGGAAATGTATAGGAGGAAAAATATGTATTTTATTTAGGAAATGTAGTGGAGTAAAAGTGAAAGTTGACAGGAGTATTAAAACAGAAGTAAATTACAAGAACAAATACAAAAAATACTGAAGTATTGAAACAAAGTTTTATCACTTTATTGCATTACAACATTAAGTATGATTTATACATTTTTTATGGGAACATCTGATCTAATTTGTAGGTGTTATCGTATAATATGATGGCCACTTTCATACAGATTTAATGGAGTACCATACTATGTGGCTGATGAAGATACTTATATTACCAAACCATGTATGAAATTTGTATTAGAATACACATTATATCAGATGTTCATATGCAAATAATTAATTGCACCATTTTACAATATATGATTCTAATTGTAATTCTTTGACTTTGACGCGATTATCACACACCATTTCTCGAGTGATGATTAGGTCGAAGTATTTTGTTTACAAGACCACCAAACAATGCTGTCAGACATGTGCTGTGTGTGTGTAATGCAGGATCCATAAATGCTAAATTGGCTGGCAAAACATGAAGATACTTTAGTAAATAGAATGATTTCAGTGAAAAAGTGACAGACTGTGAGCGGCATCTTCGTCAATTGCAGTATTAGCTGCAAAATATGTTGACTGCTGCCACACATTAAGAGAAAGCTCCGCAGTAAATGTTTCAGAGGGATTACATCTGTGAAAGAAAGTGTGTACTGAAAGTGTATTTGTTATCTTGTAATGATAGATTTAATTTTCCTGTATAAAATATATTATTCATAATATGTAATTTAGCTTTAGCAGTAATGTAACTTGAACATTCATGCCAGTAAAGCTTATTTGAATTTGAAAATCTGAGAACAGCACATAGCTAGCGTGACAGTACATAGCTAACATACACACAGTGCATAATAAGATGGAGACCTGCTGTGAATTTTAATCTTTGCATCTATTGTAGGTAAGTTTTATTTATGGTCTTGGACCCTAATACACACCAGTACAGTTTGTACTTAAAGTATAAATTATATGCACGTAAATGTGAGATATGTGTCTGTGTGTGTGTTCGAGGGGTTTGAATATGCCCGTTAGAGGATGACATGAGGAAACGAAGGCTGTGCTACAAGATTGATTGTAGCTGAATGATAATGAAGGCGCACAAAGACGATCAAGAACAGCAGATAACCAGGAAAAAGCTGAGAGAAGCTGTTCCTCCCCCCTCATGCTTTTCTTCCCGCTCTTTCTCTACATTTCTCCGTCTTATGTGGTGCTCATAGCCGCTCAGGATGAGAGGTACAACACAGGCTTTTCAAGGATACGCTGAAAAACACCTAACCACATCCCAACACTCACACACACACACACACACATACGTGCATTGAAGAGTCAAACTTGTGCAAACACATAGCAACTCAGTTCTCACACACGTTCACTCATTCAGCCTCTTATGCTCACACTTACACGTGCTTACATACATAACCTTACAGTCACACTCAAAATACAGAGTCATGTAGATAACATGAACATGGTAAGGGCTTTATCAAAGTCTTGACGCTGTGTAACAAAAATCCTCAAACTTCTCAGAGCATTCTGATGAACCATTTAATTCTTGGTCGTAATAATCATTAATAGTACTAACTATTATTCAAATAGCTAAAACCTCAAATCATGATTGCTTTTTATAAGTTGTTTAAGATACCAGACCATGCATGTATCATTTGACACAGACACCATGCGTGTGCACAGATTCGTTCACAGTACAGCTCTTATTGAGTTTACTACACAGAATCTAATACTAGTCATAATCATATTAATACTCGTTTAAATACTGTCCACATGTTTGTAGTTTTTGAGTTACAAGTGACAAAGAGAAACACTCTGAGAGTTTTTCAGAGTGTTTGACTGCCGGCTGTGGCCAGATCTTTCATCTCTGACTGAGCTCTCTCCCACAACTACCACAATGCCTCATCCCTCACTCGCTATGTCTCTCTCTCTCTCTTTCGCACACACACACACACACACACACACACACACACACACACACACAGAGGTTGTGCCAGCATACTGCGTAAGGGCCTCTGATGTGTTATCCAAGGAGCTTTTCACAGCAGACATTTTGACATGTCACAGCAGAAGAGCACAGGCGGTGTAACAAACGTCACTAACATTAATGGTTGCTGCATCACATGTAGGTGTTGTTGTTCTGCGGTTCTGGTATTGTGCATACTGGCTAACTGGTTTGGTGGTGCAGCTAAATGGTACGGAGCCATTGTTAATGTTAACTGCCACACTTGTGTTTTTCCTGACTATAGCAAGTAAATCAGCCAATTATCCTATCACACTCAGTCTGTCACATCATATTGCAGTGGTGAAAGGTAACTAAGTACATTCACTTAAAGTACATGTACTTAACTTTAGTATTTCCATGTTATATTTTACTTTATACCTCTACTAAATTTCAGAGGGATATATTGTACTTTTTACTCCACTACATTAATTTGATTGATGTTGACTTTAGTTATTTATTTCACAGATTAAGATTAATAATACAAAATATAATCAAATAATAAATCATGATAATGATGATATTGTAGAATAAGATAAGATAAAACTTTTTTGATCCCGGGGGTGCTTGAAATAAGGTCTGTGGTTAACACAAGTTTAAGAGACTTTCATGTTTTGTTCTATGACATAAAATACATCAGTAAATACCTCACACATGAATTTTGAAGCTTTTATGTGTCTCAAAAAAGGCGGTTGCTAACAAGTAGGTGTATGAGACTACAGAGCACCATCTTGCTGAACTCGGCTTCACAACTTTGTTATGGTGGTGATTTTACATTATGTGACCAGGGTGGAGGTTGTTATAGCCTGAAGTTAACGTTTTTTGCATTTGATTGCATTTAGGCCTGAAAGTGAACAAAACATATAAGTCTCAACATTTGTTTGTCACAGTGCTTATTTTCTGCAATAATCCAACATCCAGTGGAAAAATCCCACTGACTTTTTGATGAGGGAACCAGTGCAATGCTAACTTCCCCATCGGCCTACAGGAAACCGTCATCCCTGGAGCACTCTATTAACAAGCTATCAAGCAGTAGATTAAGTAACTAAAATGAGCTCCACCTTAACCAGATGTATCACTGATGTATCAATTCTTTATAATGGGTGCTTTTACTGTAAGTGTATTTCGATGTTAATACTTCTGTACTTTTACACAGTAACATTATTAATGCAGGGTTTTTACTTGTAACAGGGTCTTTCTACAAAGTGGCATTGCTATTTTTACTTAGTGAAAGATCTGAGTCCTTCTTCACCCACTTGTACTGTATCTTTAAGACACACAGAGAACACTTGTTGGATCAGTTCATTGTTGCTTTTGTTGACGTTAGAAAAATCATAGAGCATTGCCAGACATTATCAAGTCACCACAGCTGTGTTGTTCACCCCTCTCAAGATTACTAAGGTACCTAAAATTACATCTCGAGCATTGTTCACTCGACATTACTGATTATTATTACATGCACACACTTCTTTAGCTGTTTCTATATTGTCATTGTCTGCGTCTACCTCTCTGTCTTTCTCTCACCCTCTCAAGCTCCCCCACTCACTTTTCTCTATCCCTCGTTTACTGTAACAACACACACACACACACACACACACACACACACCCTGATAAATGCCGACTCTGTTATTCAGAGAGTCATGGTTATTGGTTAATCATGGTGTTTCTTTTTTGTACTGTGCATACATTATAGAATACTTTTCAAAGTTCAACATACAAACACATAAACACATCGCTCACAAACACACCAACACATCAACAACATACATTTAAACTTGCACAGAGATGATGGTTAGAAATGATTTACAGAAGCTCCACTTTGACTCTTCCTCTGCCTCAATGACACTATTTCACACTTTCTACTTTATCAAACACACACACACACACACACACACACACACACACACACACACACACACACACACACACACAGGAAACACCTGTCCTATGCGAGCTCGGTACCACAGAAACTCAGTGACATATTAACACATCACATCCCAATGCTAAGAAGTCTGCAGAATAACACAGCAGAGCAATGTCAGTAAGATTCAGTAACAACAATTACTGATGTCATCTGATGAAAAAGTTTTGATTTACTGTAAACTCAGAGGTCTGCGTCTTTTGAAGTGGTTTAATCCAAGCACTGATTCAAGTGAAATGATGAGAAACAAAAGACTTTCAAAGAAGAGAATGATCTTTGTCTTCCAGGTTTTTTGTGCCTCGTATCCTTTGGCCTCAGTAGTTCTCAAGATATATTCTGAATATTAGAAATATGGTGATCGCACCCAACTTCTACTCTAAACAGCAGCATTAACAAGAGTGATTTCTCTGGCCACTGAATTATGTTTACACATATTACAAGATATAAAAATTAATATATCTATATTTTCTACAAATACTAAATCCGGTCACCCGAATAAATGTTGGTATTGTACATTTCTGCAAAATATGGCTGTGTTTAATTTGAACATTTGATATGTGGTAAATATGTTGAAATATGTTTTAACAGCGCTGTGGGTCTGTGGTTAGGCTGAGGCACAAAAACCTCTTGGTTAGGGTTGGGAAAACATCATGTTTTGGCTTTAAATAAGTTTTTTTGTCTCTACAAACACAGCTGGAAGTATCCCAGCAGTGGTCTGCCGCTGTATGCTGCTTGGCAGCCGTCTTGCCTCGGTGTTACACCATCCACCATCCCCTCCTCTTCCTCCTGATGGGAAACACAGCTCATATACATGTAATCTGAACTGCATCACTTTAGACATGTTGACATGATAACTATGAAACATAAAAATGTAACCTGTGTATGGTTTGCAGAAGCATACAACGCCAACATTTTATTTAAACACTGTGCTGACATACAGATAATTCTAAAGCCGGATTTATACTTCTGCATTGAATTGACACCGTACCTACGGCGTAGGCTCTGAATTGCTTTAGACCCTACACCGTAGCCTGATGTGCACCTCCCTAGAAATGTAACTACATTTCACAGCGACACAGACCCCCTGTCCATTTTTAAAAGCTGAACCATTTCTCTCAGTGGAAATGAAGCTTTTATTTACTTTAATTTTACAGTTAAGAAACTACAAATTGTGAAGACAATAAAGCCTCAACAAAATTAGCATTTAGATCTTGTGTGTGATCTATCCTAGCTTCTCCTCTAGTGGCTAGTGAAAACCTGAATTAGTATGCACATATATATATATATATATATGTGCATACTACTAACTAACACTTCTTAACTAAAAAGTGTATACATATATATATATATATGTATACACTTTTTAACTTTTTCAAGTAAAAGCAAGTAAGATTTTTTGTCATCTTTCAGCAGTGGCCTGCATCACATTTATACAATCTACAAAGTCTCAAGTAGCAGCTTGGCTGCTTATTGAAGGAAGACAGTCTCACTCATCATTTAACCAAAAACTCTGAGGTTTCCTGGCCTGCTTCTCTATAGTCGATATACATACAGCTAAAGGTCTTTAGCCTCTTTAGCTGTTCTGCCCCCCATTGTCAGAATTCTCCCTAACAAGATATTCTCAATATTCAGATCGCATCTGAAAACACACCTTTTCAAGCTGGCATATCTGGTCTGATCTAATGGTTAGACCAACACTGACATTTGCACTGATGGTGACTTTATAATGATGATGATTTTATAAATAGTTTTTTATGATTAGGATTTTTTTCAGCATTTTATGATTGTATATTACTGCTATTTAATTTCATAATGTATGGACACATTGCTTCTAGTTTTCGAAAACCTAGTTTTAAAAAACTTTTCTAAGTCTTGGAAGGTGTTCTTGAGTGCTTTGGAAGGTGCCTATAAATAACATTTCTTCTTCTTCTTATCATCATCATTATCATCATCATTATTATTGTTATTATTATTATTATTATTATTAACATTATTACCACTACTACCTCTGATAATAATTAAAAATAATAATAATAATAATAATAATGATAATTTTTTTGCGGTGCTTTATTGGTGTGGGAAACACACATGTACAATACATTTACGCTACATTTGTCAAAAACACTGTGAAATAAAAACAAAAACAATACATACAACAAGTAAAGATCTACTAGAAATTTATTCATATACATGTCGCTGCTGATTGGGTAACATCTCTGACACACCCACCAAACGAGGAAATGTACCTCAAAGCTCTTTTAACACCATTTCGAGGAAATATATTGGTCAAACTGTAAACTGTAGCAGAATTGTGCACACCATTTTGAGACTGAACATGCACCCGGATAAGCAAAGACAAAAAGTATAAATAGTATGTAACACAAACAAGGTTTTATATTTGTATACATTAAATTGAAGCACGGCAGGATAAACACACAACTTATTTCCATGGTAATCTTTGCTTTACGATGAAAAACATTAAATTGTCAACGAGAAATAGAAGTGTGTTATGTTACTCTGAACCTTAAAGATGTCACAACTGCTGGCCAGTATAACAAGGGTCAATTAGCTGACCTTAGTTTCTGGTTACTGATCTCTTCAACAGCTAAAAGATTAAGAGAGGATAACATCTACCCTTATCACCAATCTACAACCAGTGTACAGCTTTACTGTCTTTATGTTAAAGATTCCTATTTACAGGGTGACACCTGATCCTGGATCAGTTCATTGCCATGTAGCGTGAATGACAGGTGTCATGACATGTGTGTGTGTTCATCTTGAATGACCTGAACAGCAGTAAGAAAGTGTCACTGTATGTGTGTGACTGACACATGTCATTAGCTGTGTAATGCAGTAAGGTGTGTGTGTGTGAGTGTGTGTGGGTTTGTGTGTGTGTGTGTGTGTGTGTGTGTGTGTGTGTGTCATACAGCTGGTTGTGGTCATGTACACAAGAGGATAGGGCTGCAGGCATCACATTTCACCCAGTGCCTGTGTGCTATGTGATACTGCAGTGCACGTCTGTGTGTGTGTGTGTGTGTGTGTGTGTGTGTGTGTGTGAGTGATAGCCCCAGGTCCTGTTCCAGAGCAGCGATCACACACTGAGAAACAGTGACAGAGAGGCGACCTGCAACTAACAGCTAGCGAAGCATTCAGAGCTTCTGACAGGATGTAAGATCTCGAGAATTTTCTGTGGTCTCGCTGAGCGTCAGCAGGTGAGAATGGAGATCAGAATAGAGTGACGCTCTGGATTCGGACCCGGGCTGTCACAGCGGCTGCTTTGCTGAATAATTGATCCCTTGGCTTGTGACTGGTTGAAAATGAGGAAGGCAGCACTGATGGTTTGGATCAGTCTTGTGGTGCAAGGTCAGTTCTGATGTTTATATCTGACTGATATGGTAAAGCTAACTCTGCCTTGTATTCTGCTCTTGTTTCTGCAGTCTTTTGTCTATTGTAACCCTCTGCTGTCCTCTTGCCCCCTCAGTGTCCCACGGGGCTCAGGGTCATTATGCCCACAAACTTCTGTCTGACTTGATGGAGGACTACTCCAATGCTCTGAGACCAGTGGACGACACAGACAAAGCCCTCAATGTCTCCCTGCAGATCACCCTGTCACAGATTAAAGATATGGTGAGTAGAGAGGAAACTCTATTACGTATTATTGCCAAACATGGATTTAGAGATATAAAGCCTGTACACCCCCAGCCACGTATACAACCAATCAACCTCAAAAGAATCCTAAATCCCAACATTTCACACACACTGTTCATTTATGTTCTTTACCTTCTTGCTCCAGCACTTTATTGACGCTACAGAATGCCTACACTAACTCAAAAATCCAAATCGAAGACACCATGTATGTATAAATAAACTAGATGCATTTGGTCTCTTTTGAAACTTCTGTGAATTTGATGACTTCTTGGTCTCACAACATGAGTTGTAGAGCTGTAGAGTTTAAGATGATAAATTATATCACAGGAAGACAGACATAATAATCTGTTGTTGTTGTGATTCATGACTCACTTCAAACTGTCACTGATTCAAGATAAAAAAAAAATTCAAAGTTTTTTTGTCACATGCTTATACGATACATGCAGTAAAATGCAGGGCAGTGTACCCTTTATTTAAATAAGACTTTATTTAGATTTTTGAATATATACAATCTACATCATAAACACTGACCACATTGACAAAACAAAGAACTCACAACCTAACAACAAAATGTCCGACAACATGCATTTATCAATATTTACACTACAAATAAACTCAATGCCCGAACTTCATAGCTGATCAACTTAGTTACTATGAAATACATAAAATATAATTAAACTTAAACATACAGTATGTCAAGTATAACTCTTTGAATACAGTTCATCTCTATAATTTTTTATCCTTCACCAAGTGAAGAGCAAAAAGGCTGCAGTAAAAAGAAGAATTAGGAATTATTTCATCTAATTTTCTTCAAGCACATATCAAAGGGTAGATAGTGACAGAACCATGTTGATAAGGTATATAAATCAAGTTACACGTTAGAGAGCTACTGTGTGTACAGTGTAACCAATTCTTAGATGAGTACATCAGGATTTAAATACTGCACTGTAATACAGTAGTGGACTTACAATTTAATTAATTAAATGAACAAAGCAGAGGCCTAAAGTTTTTGTCCAGCTCAGATGACAAACTAAACTAAACAAAAAACAAAACCAAACAAAATATAACCAAACAAACACTGGGTCCCACACTCAACTGGTATCATAAACGCACGTTTTCCTCATACTGTCTGTGCTAGAACACCTGTAATCACCCTCTGCCTATCTGTTTTTACACCTGTCTCCTTAAGCCCCCTTCCCGAAAAAGCCCACTCTGCTCTGATTGGTCAACGTTTTCAGGTCTTCAGTATCTGCACTCTGGTTGTCTCTGCAGGCCCCCAGGAAATGCGCTGGGCTTTGAAGCCAATTTGACACAGTGGCCAAACTGTGGAATTACAACTTCTGAGTCGGTCACAAGATGTCGTAGGGCCCAAAAGACATTTCCAATAGACTTACAATGCGAAAGAGACATTTGTAAATGTCACAACTCCTGTGGAATGTTTCGTTTTATAATCAGAATTTGATGGTTTCTTCCGCTAACATTGAGAAAGTCTAGAAGAGCCACAAGAATTAAGTGTTTTATCCACATTCAGGCTAGTAAAGGGCTAAACTGGAAGTAGCCATTTTGGCTAGCAGAAGTCTCTGGTGCGCCTTCTCTATGGGCCCAATGATTGCAAGCATCTGGGTAATTTTATACATGCAGCTAAACTATTTTGGCTTCATGAGCCACTGAGCAACTTTCACAGGAATTAAAGGGTGCCCCGCCTTTAACGCTGAATTCAGGTTTGGTTTTTTTTTACATCCATGTGTCTCTAACTCTAAGAGCATCCAGTCTGTTAGCATTAGTTTTTCAGAAAAACCTATCTTGTCTTTCTCTAAATGTGTTTATATGTGTGTATGCGTGTTTAGGATGAGAGAAACCAGGTGCTGACTACGTACCTGTGGATCAGGCAAGTCTGGCATGACAACCTCCTGAAGTGGGACAAGGAGGACTATGATAACCTGGAGATGATCAACATCCCCAGTGACCTAGTTTGGAAGCCAGACATTGTCCTCTACAACAAGTTAGTAAGAGGGTTCACAGTACACTTGTAATGCAGCGGTGTGTGTATCTGACTGATGTGTCCTTTCCTCTCTGTGTGTGTATAGAGCAGATGAGGAGCCTGCAGAAGCATCCAGCACTAATGTAAAACTGCGTTATAACGGAGAGATCATCTGGGACTCTCCAGCGATCACAAAGAGCACATGTGTGGTGGACGTCTCCTACTTCCCCTTTGACTGGCAACAGTGCAACCTCACCTTCGGTTCCTGGACCTACAATGGCAACCAGGTGTGTTTAAGCATGCTGATGACAGGGTGAATGAGACAGGGATCACACCTTCTACTTGTCTGAGATCATCCTGATCATCCATATTAAAAATGCAAACCCTGTTTACACTGTTCATTTTTACAACAGCAATCTATCAAATGACAAAGTGAAAACAATGTGACAGTGTGACATTGCTCGCTCATAGCAATGAACCTACAGAGAATTATCACCTGAATCTGCAGCTCCCCTCAGTTTTATGGAACTTATAATGAGTTTCAGCTTGTTGTTTAGTTGTGCAGCCCATAACTTTACTGTTTTGGTTCAATCTCACCACTCTTGTGGCCTTTTTGGGCAAAGCAGGCAGCTGTTTTCAGTAAAAGAAAAACCTCTAAAAATCCACTCTACCTGCTCAGCATTGAACAGCTGACAGACACAGTAAGAGACCAGCTGGTGAAAGTAGTCAGTCACTCCCCCTGAATTCTGCACAACCTTGCAATTTTGTCCAATCACTGCAATTTTACAGCAAATTTCACCATCAAAAACCGGTAAATCTCATTTTATTGTAAAACTGCACGCAGTCTATGTGCCTGGAACCAGTGGCGTAAGGTAATTACGATGGGCCCTGCTGCAGGCTATTATGACAGGCTCTAGTGCACACTATCGCAGGGCCGGCCCTAGCCATTTTGGTGCCCTAGGCGAGATTGAGATTTGGTGCCCCCTGAACCACATTACCCCACTGGTATTGGGGACACAAACATCAGGGACCACAATGGTTTCAAGACAAAAAGTGCTGCTGGGGTAGGTGTAAATCTTAAAATGTCACAGAACTCACTAATAGTAGTAAAACAGCATTTTTTATTTAGCGTAATTGCTAATAGGCTATTAGCCAATTTGCAACCCAGTAATCCAGTGTAGACCTAATTCATTGATATATTTCAATATCAATCGAGCTTACTACAATGTGCTACGATGCCAAGTGGCGCTCACATCTCTGGTGCAAGCCAATGCAGAAATCTGTTTTTGTGGATAAGTTCGTGTTCGTGTCGAGCCATTATCACTGATATTTGTCAGCGAAATTTCAGCACAAGAAGGAGCAGTTATCCAGATAGCTAGCTATTGGCTTGCCATTCAGTCTCATATCCTTCAATCTGTAACATTATCTGAATCCAACAGCTATCGTAGCATTATTATGTAGCATTAGCTTTATTGCTACTTAGCTAGCTAGCTGCAACAAATGAAACATCTAACGACGTTACACACAGAACGGCATTTTAAAGATAACATAAGACAGACAACATACCTCTATATCGGACTTTCTTTTCCTCCTCCTCCTGCACCTGAAGACTTGGACCTTTTCATTATTATGAAACGCAGGTAAAACGTATATCTGCCTATCTTGACCAGATTTTGACACAGACCCCACTTTCAGCGCGCACAGTACAGGTGCAGGGACGGGGCAGATGAAAAATTTTGAGGAACAGGGGTGCAAAGTGTATTTCTTTATTTCTTGCTTGCTTGCTTTCTCTCTTTCTATCTTTTTTTATGTATTTGTTCATTTGTTACCTCCAGAAAAAAAATAGGATGGGCGCCCACTGGCGAATTTTTATTATTATTTTTTTAAATTTTATTTTCATTTTTTTTCCCAGCGCCCACCAGACAGTGTGGCGCCCTAGGCGACCGCCTATATCGCCTATGCCTTAAGCCGGCCCTGCGCTATCGTGCACATATCGTCTCATCAGATCATCAGAGACTTGGCATTGGATTACATTAGCACACATATTACCCATATTACCCATCTGTATATAACTAAAATTCCAGAGAAAACAAGAAATTATTAACAATTATTAATTCAATTTAACAATGTTAATAGTTGATTCATGCTTATAGAATAGTTGATTTATAAAGTAGTTGATTTATAGTTATAAAGTATACAATTTCATCATAGATGCTAAATAAACATGACGGAGATGGGTTTGCTGTTTTCAAGGGTATATATAGCAAATGGCACCATTTTTTAATTTAATGAGAGTTCCTCTTTGAACACAGGCATATTTTCAAAGCGGCTATCACTCACAAGGGTCCATTCTCCACCCAACACAGCTCGGTGTTGGATGTTAGCTGCTGCTGCTGTTAGCTCGTGCTAACCGTGCAGAGAAAACAGGAGGAAAATGGCTCACAAAGTCCTTCAGCATTGCTTCAAATGGCAGCAACAGCCCCTAATCCCCCTCAAATCATTACAAATACATTCAGATACTCTGGAAAACACCAAATACACTTTAATAGCAACTATTTTGCTCTTTTCACTTGCTCTCGCATTCCAAAAACCACCTATAACCATTGCAACATGCATTGCAATTTTTCAGAAAAAGTGCTGTGAAATCAGGCATTTCAGGCCGCAGCAATCTTAAAAACAGTCCACAAAATCCTGGAGGGACTGTAAAGTGCAGCATTGAGCAGCTTAAGAGCTGGAGTTGGTGGAGACCAAAACAGATCTAAAAAGGTGTAGCTCTTTTAATTACCTATTATTCTGCTGGATAGCTTGTGAAGAGAGAGCTCCAGGGATGATGTTTTTGTAGACCGACACAGAAGTCAGCATCACACTGCTTTTCTCATCAAAAGCCTATGAGGTTTTTCCGTTGGATTTTGGACTATTGCAGAATATAAGCTCTGGGGCAAACAAAGAATCATTCTTACATGTTTAAGATCATTTTTACAAATCAACACCTTTTCTGATAAACGCAATCGCCAGAAGTCCAAAGCATTAGGCTAGTAACTAACTACACTGCAGTTACATGGCTTCAGCGTCAACAAAAAGCCTTGTAAAGCCGTGTTTGGTGAAATGATGTGTTGTAGTCTCATTTAGCCATTTGTTGGCAGCCACATGTGGCAGACGTGTAAAAGCTTCGACATTCATCATTGGGGTATTTACTGATGTATCTTATGTTGTAGAACAAAACGTCTCTTCAGCTTGTGTTAACCACAGACTTTATTTCAGGCATCTAACCAAAAACCCATTCAAAAAACCCACTGACTTAAAGACGAGGGAACTGGAAGTGCAAAAACGCTAACTCATTTCTGTGTTTGAGGACTCATTCCTACAGCATTCTATTGTTGCTGTCTAACTGCTGGATGTATAAAGAAGCAACTGCATGTTAACAAGTTCACCATGTTGACTTAAAATGTGATGTTACTCTCAGTTTCAAGGAGGATGATAGCACGACAAGGAAGCAGTTAAAGGTTTGTTCACCCAAATGACGAACTACCCCCCTCACATTTTCAGTTCAGTGAATCTCCATTTTAGTAAAAAGTCAAATAGGATGACAGAGTGTTTTCTGGGTGATTTGCATTTTCTTCTGATGTATTTATATGTTGGTTTCCATGTTGCTCCTTTAGTGGAACAGAAAATCTAAATAGTTTATACAGTAAGTATAGTGTGTACCGTATGTTAGCACTGGTAATCAATACGGATCATGTACCAGCGTCTTGCCCACTGTAGTCTGTAACTGGCTCCAGTTCCTGACCAGATCAGATAAATTAAGAGTGAATAACTTCTTGTTTTTAAACGCTCTGTAAGGGGAATTCGAGCTGTTAGTTGCTGTGTCCACATGACAGCATGTTTGCATTGCTGATATGTGTCCTCTACCCAGGTGGACATCAGTTTGGGGATGGACAGCGGTGACCTGTCTGACTTTGTGGAGAATGTGGAGTGGGAGTGTCACGGCATGCCAGCAGTAAGAAACGTCAGGATGTACGGCTGCTGCTCCGACCCTTACACTGAAATCACCTACACCCTGCTACTGAAGCGCCGCTCCTCTTTTTACATCTTCAACTTGCTCCTGCCCTGCTTCCTCATCTCATTCCTGGCCCCGCTGGGCTTCTACCTGCCGGCTGACTCGGGGGAGAAGGTTTCCCTTGGCGTCACAGTGCTGCTGGCGCTTACCGTGTTCCAGTTGTTGGTAGCTGAGAGCATGCCTCCTGCAGAAAGCATGCCCTATATAGGTCTGAATCATTCCCTTTGCATTCAATTTTGCCTCATTATGAAAATATCTAAACTACTGAAACCCACTCCACAGGGTAGAGCAAAAGAATAAAATGAATGAAAAACTTTGGGTCATAGAAATAAAAGTATTTATAGTACAGCAACATTATGAAATGCTAAGGCCAGATGTAGACTTAGTATTTCACAGTTTTGATTCGGGACCTCTTAATTCTGACTTAAGGCCTTTACAAACCAGGTTTGTGGCTAAAACATGACACCTGCCAATATTTTGCATTCAGATTATTCATACCAGTGTTACATCAAAATGTTTTTTTCCACCATTAATGCGTTTGCCCCCCTCGGTGGTTAGGGTTAAGGCTAAGGGTTGGGTAAGGTTTAGGTAGAGGGAAACACACTGGCAACATTTCAAATTTGCAACGGTTGCAACACTTAAAAAAGGTTTTGGTGCAAACTTTAGGTCACCTGGTAGAGTGTGCACCCCATATCGACTGACTCCTTTGCAGTAGCCTGGGCTTGTTTCTGACCTGTTGCCCTTTGCTGCGTGTCATATCCCCTCTTGCTCTTTCCTGGCTGTTATATCAGCAAAGGCAAAAACGTCCAAAAACATAATTAAAAAAAGGTTCCAATGCAAATAAACTCACCGGCAGCAATGCAAATTTGCAACAGCTTCTGGAATTATTATTGCTAGAGGTAAGAACGAAGGAAATAGGTCTGGTTGCTGTTGCTGTTTGCAAGTTTGCAATCTTAGTTGGGACTACAGATCCTCCGTGTTGTGGTTTTATAACCCCCATAGGTAGTGGCACAACGTGATTAGTTGATGACTTTTTCGCAGTGCAAAAGCTCAGACAAATCTGCCCTGCTCTAGTTTTTTCGGCACATAATTGTTGCCATCTGTGTGAATGTACTCATGGCAAAAGCAACAGTTTGCCATCTTTGCGTGAAGTCCTTCAGCGTCTTAGAAATTTGACTCAGTATCTTATAATTATGACTTACTGTGATTATTCTAAATTTAATTTTATCATTTTACTTTTCATGCATTTTCTTTTCTTGGCAGAAATGAGCTTCACACAAACTCAGCTCTTTTACTTGGAGACTAAATCGGTTGATATATAGGTTGATATGTCTATGTTTAAAGATGTATCTGGGACAACAGATTTCCATGGCATGTCTTTCCAGTTCAGTACTGACGAAGTGAGGAAGTTGTATGTGAATGTTCAACCTTGTAGTTCACAAATTAGGGCTGCTTTGTATGTGTTGTCTCTCCCCTTTGTAATCCATCCTGTCCTTTATCCTTTCCTCCAGGGAAGTACTACATAGCCACCATGACTATGATCACAGCCTCCACCTCTCTCACCATCTTTATCATGAACATTCATTTCTGTGGGCCTGAGGCCAAGCCGGTCCCTCACTGGGCCAAAGTGCTCATCATAGACTACATGTCCAAGATTTTCTTCGTCTACGAGGTGGGGGAGAACTGCACTACGCCGGAGAGTGAGAGGACGCCGCTCTACCCTGAGGAACCCTTGAACGGTAACAGCAGCTACCACGATGACTATTTCAATGACTACCATCATGACAACGACCCATACAAGTACAGCAACGGCCATGGCGTACACCATCCCAACAAGCATCACAAAAACCAGGCCAATGGCAATGCCAACAATAGCCGTCACCATTACAACAACCATAACAACCATGCTTCCAGACTGGAGAGGGGCGAGGGGAAGCGAGAGCCTGCAAAGCGCTACCACCACATCAGGAGGGATGAACTGGACTACCAGACCTGTCCTCATCCAGAAAACCTCTCGCACCTGAACGGAGGGCTGAAGGAACAGCTCCTCTTTCCTGTGGAGAAGCTTCAGGTCCCAGCCTGCCCCTGCTGCTGCCCCTGCCTCCAACATAAACAGGTGCATCACCACAGCATCTCTGTTTACTCACTTTACCCACTTATCTGATTACTCCTCTTCTTCTAAAGTTTCTTTAAGTGCTTGCTTTGGTTCGTTTATCTGTCTCTTCTTCAGGTGGTAAAGAACATCCAGTACATAGCCAACTGTTTCCGCGAGCAGAGAGCTACTTGTGTCAAGGCAGCAGAGTGGAAGAAGGTCGCCAAGGTGATGGATAGGTTTTTCATGTGGATCTTCTTTGTCATGGTGTTCCTCATGAGCATCCTCATCATCGCCAAGGCATCCTGACAGCCTCCTCCCTCGTCTTTTTACCATCATGATAACATTCATCCTCCTTCACGGCTGGACCTCAGCATTACTCACCTCATTTTTTACTTTAAAGCAGCACCAGATAAATCAAAACTGTTTTATATGTGTGTCAGTATTGTGTGTATGTGCGTGCGGTTGTGTAGGTTGATTGTTATTTTTTTGCTTTGACTTAAAGAGGACGAGGTCACTGCGCACCAATCATCCGTTTAACCACACAGGCACACAAGCACAGGATTCATCAAAGCCTCTCGGTTAGTTAATGTCAGGTGTGCTTGCATGTGTGATGGAGCAGTGGAGCGGTAAGACAATCTAGGCTTCGCCTTGAACATGCATGGATTCTCCATTATTGATGAGCTAACAGCCAGACATCCAGCTATAGGCATTACATTACTTAACATTGCGTTTCAGGCAACCAGATGATGCTGCTTTCCAGAGTCGGTTACAATGAGAGCAGCAGCAGATTGACCTTAAATACTTATGAGACAACATTATATATGGTCAAAGGGCCAATCATCATGGGAAAGCGTGCAATGTAAGGACATTTAGTGTTTTACTAGTTTAGATTGTAAGAAATTTGGTTTACATTAGTTGTGAATCCTTGAATGTGAGACTTGAAGAAAAAGGGTGAATGTTTACCTTTCTTACTTTTCAAAGAGCCCTCACTTTTTAACACAATACTCAGACCTTAAAGTCTACCTCCAGAGTGTGAACAGCGGATGTACTGTACCTTTTGACTAACTTGTGCTTCGCTCATTGGTCCAGTAAAAAATAAACCTTTGATAGCTTGTTATTAAATATGGTTTTACTCACTGTCCCAGCAGTTTGTGTTATGGTACAAATCTAATTTATTATAAACAATGTATGTATGTGTATTTTTTAAATATATAAAAGCTCTTAAAACTGCCTCACACTTTTCCTGTAAAATGTATATAAACTAATATATATATATATATATATCTATATATCTCTATATATCTTCTTACTATATAATGACGAAACCTCTGTCTGTGTGTGCGTCTGTTCCACGTTTTTCTCCTCACTGACTTGGTCAATCCATGTGAAATTTGGCACAGTGGTAGAGGGTCATGGGAGGATGCAAATGAAGCAATATTACATCAATTGGCCAAAGGGGGCGCTATAGCAACCGATTGAAATTTTGAATGGGCATATCTCATGCCCGTATGTTGTAGAGACATGAAACTTGGCACAGAGATGCCTCTACTCATGAGGAACAAATTTGCTTCAAGAACCCATAACTTCCAGTTATATAGATTTTCCGCCATTTTGAATTTTTTGAAAAACACAAACATCGATGTCTTCCTAGGAAGTTTGACTGATCTGTGTGAAACTTGGTGAACATAATCTAGGGACCAATATCTAAAGTTCCCTCTTGGCAAAAGTTGGAAAACTTACTAAAATTGAGCTTCTATGGGGCGTTGGTGGCTTAGTGGTAGAGCAGGCACCCCATGTATAAGGCTGTTGCCGCAGCGGCCCAGGTTAGACTCCAGCCTGTGGCCCTTTGCTGCATGTCACTCCCTCTCTCTCTCCTCCCTTCATGCTTGTCTGTCCTATCAAATAAAGGCTAAAACTGCCTCAAAAAATATTTTAAAAAACAAAACAAAACTGAGCTTCTATAAGGCAATGCATATTGTGGAGGGCGTGGCTCATCACATAAAGGTGTATAACATCTCAAGGGTTTCACCGATCATCACACAACTTTGTAGGCATATGACCACACATAATCTGAAGGGACCTCTCCATTATTGACCCCATCAAACAAAATGGGGGTGCTAGAGAACTAATTTCTTATGTAGGCCTAACCGCTATATCGATTTTTACTATACTTGGTAGATATGTAGAACAGGACGCCTCAAGGTGACTGGAGAAATTTAACTCTAATTGGCAACTGGGTGGCGCTATAACAACATAAAAATGCTTAAAAATGGCTAAAATGCGACCGATTGCTGTGGCTCCCCCTGTGACCGAATGTTGTTTTGTTTCTAATTTTTGGTATTCTACGTCATGGTATGGTATGCTGTACTCAATGGGTATGGACTAGTATATATACAGTACAGGCCAAAAGTTTGGACACACCTTCTCATTCAATGCGTTTTCTTTATTTTCATGACTATTTACATTGTAGATTCTCACTGAAGGCATCAAAACTATGAATGAACACATGTGGAGTTATGTACTTAACAAAAAAAGGTGAAATAACTGAAAATATGTTTTATATTCTAGTTTCTTCAAAATAGCCACCCTTTGCTCTGATTACTGCTTTGCACACTCTTGGCATTCTCTCCATGAGCTTCAAGAGGTAGTCACCTGAAATGGTTTCCACTTCACAGGTGTGCCTTATCAGGGTTAATTAGTGGAATTTCTTGCTTTATCAATGGGGTTGGGACCATCAGTTGTGTTGTGCAGAAGTCAGGTTAATACACAGCCGACAGCCCTATTGGACAAATGTTAAAATTCATATTATGGCAAGAACCAATCAGCTAACTAAAGAAAAACGAGTGGCCATCATTACTTTAAGAAATGAAGGTCAGTCAGTCCGGAAAATTGCAAAAACTTTAAATGTGTCCCCAAGTGGAGTCGCAAAAACCATCAAGCGCTACAACGAAACTGGCACACATGAGGACCGACCCAGGAAAGGAAGACCAAGAGTCACCTCTGCTTCTGAGGATAAGTTCATCCGAGTCACCAGCCTCAGAAATCGCAAGTTAACAGCAGCTCAGATCAGAGACCAGATGAATGCCACACAGAGTTCTAGCAGCAGACCCATCTCTAGAACAACTGTTAAGAGGAGACTGCGTGAATCAGGCCTTCATGGTCAAATAGCTGCTAGGAAACCACTGCTAAGGAGAGGCAACAAGCAGAAGAGATTTGTTTGGGCCAAGAAACACAAGGAATGGACATTAGACCAGTGGAAATCTGTGCTTTGGTCTGATGAGTCCAAATTTGAGATCTTCGGTTCCAACCGCCGTGTCTTTGTGAGACGCAGAAAAGGTGAACGGATGGATTCCACATGCCTGGTTCCCACTGTGAAGCATGGAGGAGGAGGAGGTGTGATGGTGTGGGGGTGTTTTGCTGGTGACACTGTTGGGGATTTATTCAAAATTGAAGGCACACTGAACCAGCATGGCTACCACAGCATCCTGCAGCGACATGCCATCCCATCCGGTTTGCGTTTAGTTGGACGATCATTTATTTTTCAACAGGACAATGACCCCAAACACACCTCCAGGCTGTGTAAGGGCTATTTGACCAAGAAGGAGAGTGATGGAGTGCTGCGGCAGATGACCTGGCCTCCACAGTCACCGGACCTGAACCCAATCGAGATGGTTTGGGGTGAGCTGGACCGCAGAGTGAAGGCAAAGGGGCCAACAAGTGCTAAACACCTCTGGGAACTCCTTCAAGACTGTTGGAAAACCATTTCAGGTGACTACCTCTTGAAGCTCATCGAGAGAATGCCAAGAGTGTGCAAAGCAGTAATCAGAGCAAAGGGTGGCTATTTTGAAGAAACTAGAATATAAAACATGTTTTCAGTTATTTCACCTTTTTTTGTTAAGTACATAACTCCACGTGTTCATTCATAGTTTTGATGCCTTCTGTGAGAACCTACAATGTAAATAGTCATGAAAATAAAGAAAACGCATTGAATGAGAAGGTGTGTCCAAACTTTTGGCCTGTACTGTATATATATATATATATATATATGAACACATAAATTTTGTTTCAGTTAAAGCTCACACAAAATCCTTGAATACTTATTACTTATAATCCATCCGCAGGTGTTGAATATCAAGATGCTGATTAAACTACATCATTACTACGCAGGTGTGACTTGGGACGGTCATAATAAAAGGCTGCTCTAAAATGTACAGTTTTATCTTGAAAAACCAGTCAGTATCTGGTAGAGCACCATTTGCCTCATGCAGTGCAACACATCTTCACATAGAGTCGGTCAGGTTGTTGAATCTGTCCTGTGGAATGTCATCCCATTCTTCTTCAATGGCTGTATGAGGTTACACTGTCGTACATGCTGATCAGAGCATCCCAAACATGTTCACAGCGGATGAATGGCATGACAATAGGCTTCAGGATCTCATCATCATATCTCTGTGCATGTATAATAATAATAATAATAATCATAATAATCATAAAGCGCTTTTCAAAACAGAGTTCCATAGTACTTTAAATGTCAATAATTTAAACAGACAAGACATGAAAACAACACTTTTTAAAATAACTGATACAAACACAGACAGTTTATATTAACTTAAAACTAAATTAAAATCAGGAAAGACTTTCCAATAAAAGTATGTTTGAAAAGGGATTTAAAACCGACTCAACTGACCTGATTTCCTCAGAGAGATTTTTCCTGAGCCTTGAGGCCAGCAAACATTGAGCAAACATGAAGACAGCAAACTCTTTGTCCCCCTCAGTTTTCAGCCAGACCTCTGGAACATACAAAAGACCTCTGCCCGAGGACATGAAAGTATGTCCTGGTGTATACGGTGCTAGAAGATCAGAGATATAGCTGGGAGAGAGACCATGAAGAGCCTTGAAAGTAATCTATCTATCTATCTATCTATCTATCTATCTATCTATCTATCTATCTATCTATCTATCTATCTATCTATCTGTCTATCTAAAAAATTGCAATCATACAGTAGAAGACACTCACACACATACACACAGTGTGACAGACATGAGGCTCAGCAAATGAACCACAGCTTAGTTCCTTTAGACATTTTCATTCCCCCAAGAGCCTCTAGAGGGCAGATACTGTATGATCATAGAGGTTTCAGTTACTGACTCACTGAATAAATTAATGAAAACCTGAACGTGTAAGTTCTTCAATTAGATAGTGACAAATAGACAGCTTAAAGATTTTAAAAGATATAAAATACAGAGAATCCGTTAAGTATTATCAGATGCTCTTAATGGCTACAAGGTGTACCAGTAGAATTGGTGAAAAAAAGCACATGAACTACATAAGAACAGATTTAGAGGTTACATTTATTCTGCAGGACAAAGCTCGTTTGGGCCACTGCAGAAACAATGAATTACTATGATAGTAATTAAGATTTGTATGTGATGGACACACAAAAATGGGTAAATAAGAGCCTTAGTGATGATAACCTCAATAAAACAAAAATGTGATGTGATATTTGTGATGTAATTCCTAATTTACTAATAAATAACATCAGAAAACATTCAGAAATATACCAGACTCAGGCTAGGTAATTCTACTCTGTATATAATTGGTGTTCTCAGTTACAGACTCCAGAAGCCTCCCTGACTCGCTGAATGTCTTTCATTCGGCAGTTTTTAAATAGATATAATTATTAAAGAAACAAAAGAAAATAATAACAATAATAGTAACACAATCATCCATTTAAAATCCACTCAGGTGCAAAAAGATTTGACACCACTCTGTCTGACGTCTCAGCACCACATCATGATAGCAATAGTCAATAACTTGTCTGACAGATGACATCGCAAACACTAACCTGGAGTTTGTAAACAAATACACACTGTGTATTTGTATCTGCATGAAGTCACAGTTTAAGTGTTGTGCAACTGGAGATGTGATACTAACACCATGTATGTTATTAAATACATGTTGGTTTATCGGTCAGTTTTTACACACTTTAATGTAAAAAAATAATTGTAATATGTTTGGTATTCTTCTGATTTTCCCACAAGCACTGCCTTCAAGCCAAATTTCAATTTGTCCAATACTTTGGTTTGTGGCCAAATACCTGCAAAACTAATGACATTCCCATCGACCGCAGTTGTACTTTGGCTTTACTGCCAATAAGCAAATATTAGCATGCTAACTAAGGTGGTGAACGTTAAACCTTCTTAAAGCCAGCATAACAGCGTTGTCATTGTTAGCATGTTAGCATGCTGACATCAGCTTTTAGCTCAATTCACTGTTGTACCTGAGTCAAGCCTCGCAGAGCTGCTGTCATGGCTGTAGATTCTCAGTACTATTTTGTCGTTAGACAGTTTGGTCAGTCTGTGTGACACTGACAGGAGGGTGTCTATAGGTTATCATCCCACTCGACAGAATAAAAGTTTGCATTTTATGTTTCTGGAAACCATGGATATGTAACACTTGTTCACTGTTGTAAGGTGGATATGTTTCTTTATGTTTCAACAGCGCTGTAGTTAATGTGTGGTTATGTAAAAGCACTAAAACTACTGGGCTATGGTTAGGAAAAGATCTTGTTTTGGCTTAAATTACCCAGTTTTGGTGGAACAGTCATAGCTGGAAATGCTGCTGAAGTGCTAAAAAAACCCAGCGGATTTTGGAGGAGCAAGCACTGCTAGAAATGCTGCTCAAATCTTGCTAAAAAACACCCATTTTGGTGGCACAATCACTGCTGGAAATGCTGCCGGTGTCTCGCTATAACAAACAAGTGCTTTTGATGGTACAATCACCACTGGAAATGCTGTCAATGTCTTGTCACTTCTGGCAGCACAATCGGTGGAAATGCCGCCGGCATTTTGCTAAAAAACACTCAGTTTTTGTTGGTGCAATTGCTGCAGGAAAGGCTGCTGGTGTCTCGCTAACAAACACCCAGTTTTGGTGGCACAGTTACCACTGGAAATGCTGCCTACATCTTGCTAAAAACACCCTGTTTTGTGGCACAATCATGGCTGGAAATGCTGCCAATGTCTCGTTAAAAAACACCTGGTTTTGGTGGCACAGTCACAACTAGTAATGCAGACATCTCGCTAAAAAAACACTGGTTTTGGTGGCACAATTGCTGCTGGAAATGCTGCCAACATTGTTTGTTTTTAGTCTCAAACAGTGGTCTGCACTGATGTTCAGCTTGGCGGCCATTTCGCCTAAGTAACATGCCATCCACCATCCCTTTCACATGCCAGTCACAAAGTCAGCTATACAACATTGATATGATATGTATGAAGCATACAATTATCTGTGGTTTTCAGAAACTTACATTGTCAGCATTTTCTTCTGGCGACTGAGTTTATTGATCCCTGGTGGTTCCTAAGTGACAACTCATCAGCTCACTTTAAAGATAGCGACTGAACAGTCAAATGACTCTACTCTTGGTCTTTGATCACACTGATGTACAATATCTCAGCCTGCTTTCCAGGTTTTTGCCTCAGCTGGACCATGACCTCTTGCTGGACTGTGTATACTCAGAGATAAGATCTGCTGTGCTGAGTGTTTCAGAGACGGACTATTGCGTTAAGTTTTCTCCAGACTGATATTTGAAAAACATGGTGATGGCAATGGTTAGAGTTCAGAGGGGTTTAATATGTCATAGGGTCAGACACACCCACTACGTTGGGATCTATATAATGAGCTATTGTTCTCTATTGTTCTCAATTTATGGAGGCAAGTGACCAGAAACAGCATGTCATCCATTGGCAAGCAGCTGTCTTCCATCAGCTGTACAGGTAAGTTGGGATTTATGTTAATTTCTTTTGAATGTATCCTGTCCTCTCTCTCTTTCATCTGACCATAACTCTTCTTCTTTTTCATCTCCTCAGGCAAGAAGCCACCATCACCCTACCCTGACATGAGACTGGTTTTGCTTGGGAAGACTGGCAGCGGAAAAAGCTCTACTGCCAACTCCATCTTGGGCCGTAAGGTCTTTGAGTCAAAGGTTGGCAGCTCCTCTGTTACCCAACGCTGTCGCAGGGTCTCTGGAGAATTTCGTGGGCGACGCCTGACACTCCTGGACACGCCGGGGCTTCTGGACACTTCTCAGACTCCACAGGAGGTTCAGAAGGAGTTGAGGAGGAGTGTTAGCCTCCTATACCCAGGGCCCCATGTGCTCCTTCTTGTTATTCGGATTGGGAGATTCACTCAGGAAGAGAAGGAGGTGGTGCGGCAGATCAAACAGGCAATGGCTTCTGATGCTTTGAATTTCTCTGTGGTGGTTTTTACCCATGGAGACCTTCTGGAAGAAGGGACATCAGTGAAGCAGTGTCTGATCGACGGGTGCAAGGATCTGGCTGATCTGGTGGCCGGATGTGGGGGCAGGTACTGTGTCTTCAACAACCAAAGCATCAAGAACAAGGAGCAGGTATATGAGCTGCTTGCTTTAGTGGACAGCATGATGCAGGGAAATGCAGGAATGTTCTACAGCATTAAGATGCTCCAGAAAGCAGAGGAGGACCTGGCTCAGGAGCTGCAGGAGGAGTGGAGGCTGCTGAAAGAGAAGGAGGAGCTTTTAAAAAAGAAGCAAGAGGCAGAAATACAAGAGTTGTATGAACAAAAGCTAGAGATGGTTCAGCAAAAAAACAAGAGGGAGATGGAGGAGCTGAGGAAAAAACAAGAGCTGGAGAAGCAGGAAGAGGAGAAACTGGCAAGAGATCGGGAGGAGGCCTTTCGACGAGAGATGGAGGAGAGTGACAAGAAGGAGAAGGAGAGGCGGATACAAGAGATGGTGAGAGTGATGGAGATACGTAGAGAGGAGGAGGAAAAGAGGGATGCTCTCCAAGAAAAGCTTGACAAAGTTATGAAAAAGCTGGAGGAGCAGGCGGAGCGGGAAGAGAAAATAAGAAGAGAGATGGAGGAGAAGATCCAAAAGGACAGAATAGAAAATGAAAAGAAGGAGAGAGAGAGGGAACTGAAGCAAACACAGAAAGAGCATGCCATGAGGCAGAGTGAGGAAATGAAGAGAGACGCTTTGCAGAAAGAGCTGGATAAACTCACCCAGAGCTTGGAGGATCAGATCAGGAAGGAGGAGGACAGGAAAAAGCAAATGGAGAACCTGCTCAGACGTGAGAGGGAGGAGAACCAGAGAGAAAGGGACATACAGATGGAGAACCAGAGAGCGGAGAAAAGGAGAACCATGGCCCTCATGCAGGAGCTAAGACTCATCAGGATGAAAGTTGAGCAACAAAAAGCGAGCAAAGACAATCTCAAGAGACAGGTGGAGGAGGACCTGCGGAGGGAGAGGGAAAAGTGTGACAGAGAAATTTCTTTGTTGAAAAAGCAGTGCGGAAAAAAGTGTTCAGAGCCGTGCAACGTGACAATGGAGAAGAAATCTGCAGAGAGACACAGCACAGTGACAACTGTGACTGGATATATGCAGGAAATGGGACTGATGGGACTAAACGCAGCTTTAGAGAGTGTTGGAGCTCCCTGCTGTATACAGTAACAACATGAAGATTTCTATAGTGGATTTATTATTTTACAGGACAAATGCATTCATTATAACAGTACCTTTTTTATGCATATGTGTATTATGACCTTACTAACTACTAATTATTCAGGAATGTAAAGGTTCAATATGTTATGACTGAGAATTATTATTAGATTCAACCATTAACTCACAGTTGGAAAATGAAAGGAAATTAACATGAAAGCATTTCATTTCAACAAATGGATTTAATTCCATTGCGTCCTAAATCAGCAAATGCACCAAAATAGTACAAACTCTCCAAATGATGGAGATAATCTGATTATCAACTCCCCGCCCTCTGCTTCGGACTCTCTGTCTCTGTCTCCATCATCTAAATCTGTATTCAAACAAAACCCTGTTGCCATTAATAAAGATCAAATATTACTTGAGTGCTATTTTAGTGTGCCTCACTGGTGCTCCAACTTCAGCTGAGCCATCTGGTTCTGGCCCCGACCAAAAAGTCTGCTTTAATCCTGCAGCATGTCCTGTGTGTGCGTGTGTGTGCGTGTGTGTGTGTGTGTGTGTGTGTGTGTGTGTGACAGAGAGAGCGAGTTGTGGGAAGAGTGGGTATTAAATTTGGAGTGTGGTGTCATATCATTATGTTGTCTGAACAATACTACGAAAAATACCTTGAAAATATATGTACAATATATCTTAATGAAAATGAAAGAGTGTGTACTTTTTAAAAGAAATAGTTACAGTTATATGTGGAAAGGAACTAACTGAGGTTCACAATACAAAGTATAAATAAAAGTGTATAAAGAATGTGCAATGTACACCTCACTAATCTCAGCTGCACTATGCAAGCTGAGATTTAAGTGAGCACGACAGCTTAGGGCTGGTACGGGATGCCTGACTTGAGGATTCCCTGAAACATGCTGACAAGTAAAAATGTGCTCAGCCAGAGACTGGGTCTCATCCTAAGAGAGGTCGTGAGGGGATAAAATGAGGGGCGCCTGAATCAGACGTGCATTACAGATTTATTAAACATGGCAATCTGAGGGATGAAAGAACTGAGAAGGTAAGGACGCAGATATTGATGATAAAGGCCTGATGGGTACTATTCGCCACAGGGTTGATGAGCTTATTAATGAATGTCTGGGATGCATTAATCGAATAACAACTAACTGGGGTGGTTAAAATATTAGCAGGACTGATAATGAGAAATACTTGTTGGACTATCAAAGAAAAAGGAGAAAAGACATTGTATGAGGCATCACAGATATCTCAAAGTGCTCGTAATTCCTGTCACTTACAACTGTTCATCATGTTACTACACTGACAGTTAGTGTGTGAGTGTGTGTGTGTGTGTGTGTGTGTGTGTGTTATATGTGGGGGGGGGGGGGGGGGGGTTTTCATTGTTTTTTTTTTGTTTTTTTTTTATCTTGTGAAGCACTTTGTGTTGCATTTTTATGTATGTAAAGCGCTATATAAATAAAGTTTGATTTGATTTGATTTGGGAATGAATCAAAGTAAACTAAAGGGGTCTAAAATTGAAATTGTGCAAAGATTATGTGTGATACGCATAGTGACTGGATGTGCAGATTTTAAATTACGAGAGAAATGTAGGTTTTCAGCCAATAGCAGCTTTAGTCTCGGTTAGAGAAACTGAGAAAGTATTAAAAGTGCTAAAACCAAAAAAAAAGAAAGAAACAAAGAAAAAGAATGTTACTTGAAATCTTTTGGTGGGAGAAATAGGTATAACAAAGGGGCAGGATAAACTAAAAACTGTGTGCTATGCTCTACACAGGGACAGATATTGACGTTTTGGTCATGGACTTTCCATGTCCAGATACGACGCACAAGGTACCCTGGGTACATTGATTTATATTTACATACAGTCTCTTTCAAAATAAATCCACTACATCAGTACAACACAGCAAATTTACCTTTTTTTTCCTTCAAAAACAAACACAAATGGTTAGGTTTAAGCAACAAAAGGAAGTGGTTAGGTTTAGAAAAAAAGAACAGGGTTTGGCTTTAGAATCTTATGGGACGCCAACACCACTCTCTCGAGCGAAGGTCAGAGTTTGTTGGACCCATCCACCAGCCCTCCTGCCCGCCCCACTTGGACTTCCGCTGCCTTAATTTTCGTCCTTGTCCCGCCTGATTTTCCCCTGACACCTCCGGGCACTGTTAAACTATAACGGCAACCAGCCATGTATCATGCTGAGTTGGTTTCTGACGCCGCAAGTCACTGCCCAAGCCCCGGATTATGACGACTTTGGAGTGAGACCATGCTCTTCTGCCTGATGATTTGGATGCTCCAACCAAACGGCCTATGTCAGCAAGATTGCATGGAAGGGATGGTAGAGGTCGCTCCCTTCAGAAGCTGGAGGAGCACATTGCTCAGCTACAGGAGAAATAAAGATACTTGTAGTCACAGCAGCAACAGCAACAGCAGGCTTGGTACAGAGACTGAACGACAACTGTACAAAACTAGTGATCTGGGGCGTGGTAGGACACTAGTACAAGAAATCTGTGGAGAGTATTACAAACTACCACCTGAGACTGTCAATTAACTTCAGAGTCCACAGTGGCTGGACATGGATGAGAACCCTGACAAACCCTATGAACTGCAAGAACTTCTTTAAACGCTTAGTCACACTTGACCCAGGATATCTGTTTGACACTTTCGCACATGCACACCATGCAGAGAAAATGTTGACAAGAAGTGAGGAGTGAGTTGGTAATGCTGAAAAGTAGACTCCGATGGCTCAACTGTCGGCTCCTGAGCAGAAAATACATCATAGTCGTGTGGCAGAGGGAGGACAGAGAGATGGAGCAGAGTTCAAGGATGGCTTTTTTTGAAGAATTCATTGGAGACTCACTACCACTGTGGGAAATATAATCACTGGGTGAAAGACAGAGAAGCCAACCAAGGAACAGAGTACCATAGCAAGAGAGAGGAAGGGTGGCAGAGGGAGGGGGGCCTGGCAACTCAGGAGAGACATGAAGGGACTGGAAGAGGATTAGGAAAAACACACAGACACACAAGAGAGTGAGTTAAACGCACACATATACACACATGCACACACACGCATATGATGATGTGAACTTGGAAATATGAATGGCACAAATATTATGCCAAGATGTAAGATGCAGTTGTGAAACTTTACAGGTGTGTAGCTGAGATCACAGCGACAGTTTAAAGATGGGTGTGGTACAAGCAAGGGTGCTGTAAGCAGGGTGGTAGAAAGTAGGGAAGGGGCTGTTGATGCCCTTACTTTACACCCTAGCCCACATTTGTATTCAGTTGTGGATTGCTGTATTGTGGCTGGATTGATTTCATCACAAAATGGTCTCCAGTTAACAGTTCTCGTTACGATTCAGTCATGAAATAAAGGACATTAGCAAATAATTACTGTCACCATTTTCACTGACAAAAAGAACAGTGCTGCAGCGACCACTGTGCTCGCTGCATCCAGGAGACAGGGTGGTGGTGAAGAACTGCAAGAGGTGAAACTGATGAAAGCCCCCTGGGTCAGCCCATTCCAGGTGCTACTGGTGACCAACTCTGCAGTGAAAATCACTGAGAGAGCCACGTGGATCCACGCCAGCCACTGTAGGAAGACACCAGGCAGTCTCAGGGACCAGCAGCATGAATCTGAGAACAGTTGAAGCAGCAAGGTTCAGACCAGGCCATCCTGAGAGGTGATCTCTACTGTGGGGTAAAAACCCACTGATTGCCACTCCCGATAAAAAGAGGGGCTGACAACACAGGCTGCAGGGCAGAGTGTTTACTCAAAGCCAATTTTAAAGTGATATTTACAGTAGAAGATTTACAAATAACTGACAAAAAACTAGCCACCAGCAAACACATCTCATTACACATGAAAAACGTAGATTAGAAATCATAGAATTCTTTATTGTGTGATTTATAAATTAATCAAGGATGAGAATATATGAGAAAATATGACACAGTATTTGTGCATTAATGTGCATTATGTTTTTACAAAGGTGAGTGTAATTTATGAAATACATCACTATTATAACTGCTTACACAGTGATAAGTCACTGCTATGTGTTAAAAAGTGAAGCGAAGAAAAGAGTGGGGCTGGTCTAGACAGGCATAACACCATGTTTGCATTAGTTATTGACTATCAGATTCTTGTATAGACAGCTATGAAGGGCGTGACTATAAGTATAAATAAGCTTGTGAAACTTTGTCTTTGTCTTTGGACTCTGTGACCTGTGTGTGTATTTTTGACACACTAGTAAAAGTTGTTTGACTACAAGATCACTGTGTTCATTGGCATTTAAATACCTTTTCTTACCTGCACTGCACAAGCTGATATTTCAGCTTGCGTACTTCACAGAGTGCTACACGAGACACATTTTTTTTTCACTCTGGAAAAAATCATCATGTCTGATCTGTCTGAGAGCCTCCGCCTTCACAAGACAGTCAAGAAGCACTACATGTCTCTTGCCAAAAGTGCAGAGTGCCAAGTGACATATGTTTGGATTGATAAAGCTGGAGAAAATCTACAATGTAAAACCAGGATTCTGAACAAAGAACCAACAGGAATCAAAGGTAAAGTAGAGGAATGGACACTGACTGTCACTTTGTTGTCCTTGTAGTTACTTTAAGAGGGCTTTATGTAGCATTGTTGATCAATATTGTTCCCAATGTGCTGCTGTTTCATGTGACCATGTGTTGACTGTAAATCCTTGGCAGATATCCCAGAATGGACTACTGTCTGGGCTATTGGGCATCCCTTTAGTGAAGTCACTTTAGTCCCTGTCAGAATGTTTCGAGATCCGTTCACTCTTGACCCTGATAAACTGGTTCTGTGTGAAGTGCTTGACAGCAACCATGTGCCAAAAGGTATTACACTACAGTACTGACTGAGAACTCAAAAGCAGCCAGTTTTTTAAGATTTTTGACATAAATGAGACCCACATTTTGGTGTGGTGCGCCTACTAATTTTAAACTTTTGTTTTACTTTTTCTACACAGAAAGTAATCAGCATTCACAGTGTGCTAAAGTTATGGAGGAAGTTAGAGAATTTCAGCCCTGGTTCGGGATGGAACAGGAGTACACACTGTTTGGTTTGGATGGAAAGCCCTTTGGTTGGCCTCCCCAGGGATGTCCAAGAAGAGGTGTGATAAAGTTCCTCCTGAGAGCGCCCGCCAGTGGGGGAAGCACCACTTTGTACCTTAATTACACTTCACAGGGCACTTGAACACATGAGGACATGATTATGCTGCATACTGTTTTAATCTGGAGAAGCTCAAACAGCTAGCCACTTCCCCCTAAACCACACCTCAATTACTGTTCCAGACTTCATACATGCATTACAAACTTTACTAAAAACTAAACATTGTGCACAGTAACATAACAACACTCCACATAGCTTTTACTTCACCCTATCCACACAAATGACCCCTTAAAAGAATCCTTAGATGCTAAAGTAACGCGCAGCACTGTGCAGCATGAAGTCGTGGCACTGATTGTCAAAGCAACACACAAAAAAACAAACTCCCCTTTGCACATATACAACAACAGTTTGTGTCCTATCTTCGCTGATTTTGTGGACTGAAACTGGTTCCTGGTTGCATAAATCTGCTAGAAATGCTAAAATTTAAAGGGACTGGCCTTCTTTTGATGGTCTAATGGCTCTATCTGCTGGTTTATCAGTGCTAATGTGCTCTGATAATCAGTCTCTTGTTGTGACCTTGCCATGACCTTATTAAAGTGTCATTTCACCCAAACCCAAGGGTTTCTATAAATGGGAACATGTATAGAGGTCGGACTAATTGAGTTTTTGAAATAAAGCCAAAAACTGTTGTTGCTGTTTACTAACTTAACTACTTAAGCCAAATAAGGGGCACAAATGTACCTAAAAAGGCCAATTTAAAGAGCTTGCCTAAGATTTTCTCCACAAAATCCTCTCTGAATGTGCTCTGCTTCATTTATAAGCATCTGCCTATGCACAGGATCAGAACAGATGTTGTATGAATTTCAAGAGTTCTGGGCTGCTACTACATAATTTCAAAAAAATATTCAGTCTAAAAGTTTCATCAGGAGAGGATGAAATCTTTAATTTATCCTGTTTTATTTCTTCATTTGATCTTACCCAGTAGCATCTATACTGATGCTTACACCTCTCAGTTAAGCTACAAAGTGTTACCTGTAGTTCTAGACCAAGGTTATTTATACAGACCTTTTAGTTGCTGCTAAATATGCTTTTATTAAGGGTCTGTAATTTTCGAGCAGAGACCTGAGAAAGAGGAGCAGAGAAGGGAAACTAGCATAACCAACTATAACATAACATATCTTGACAAATGTGCAATTTATTTTTATAGTTTAAAATGTATTATGTAGTATTTTTAGTAACAGTTCAAATTCTTAAATTTATTTTTAATTGTGACTGTTTTCTCATCAAATTTTGTTTTGTGTTGGTTTTATTGCCAGCGCACTGTGCTGTGGGCATTAACAAGGCGTATGGAAGAGACATTTGCATCTGTCACTGTAGAGCCTGTCTGTACGCTGGTGTGAAGATCTGTGGCACCAATGCGGAAACACTAGCCTCCCAGGTAAGAACAGATCATCAGACAGGTTTTTGAAAAACCAAATTCATTAACTGTTTTACAGTTTGCAAATTTAGCCAAAAGAGCAGCGATAAACCCACTGCATGTCACATACAGTGACACACAGTGAAGCATTTAGCAGCTAAATATTGAGTGATATTTCACTCAGTAATGGGTGGAGACCAAACCAGAGCAAAATAAAAGTGAATATTGGACTTATATTTGCCAAGAGGATGGAAACATGCAACTAAATACTTCAAAGTGTCGACTGGATGTCTCACTAGATTTGCTAACACATTAAACTTTATAAGATGACGTATGTCAAACATGTATGATTTTTAATTTGTTGCAGAGGTTGACCCCAAGTGGCCAAAAAAGACAAATGCAAATGCAGCTGTAGCAGCAGTTTCTAGCTTTATGTAGTATAGTTGTGACATCACAATTTCACAGAAGTCCTGACAGCTCATTTAAAGGCACAGTTTCTGCATATGGACTGTGTGCATTTCTCTGTGGATTGAGCAATTTGATACTTTCGTAGTATTTATATTCGCACCTGTGCCTCCTTTATATATATAAAAAGACATGGAAATCTAACTCTTCACAATATGGGAGCTTTAAACTGAATGATTAGATAAAACTTAAAAGGTAAAATATGATTTGTGATGAGTTTATTCAGGTCTGACTAACTCCCAAACCAGCCTGAACCCCAATGAGGAATATCATGTCAATAATTATGTAATTATGAGATGACATAATTTAATTCTTGTTTTCAGAGACCATATGAGATTTTCATCATCTGAATTTATCTTTACATTCATAGCTGACAGTAGTAGACAGACTAATCAAACTTTGTAGGTCAACAAAGACCCCAATTTAATCACGTCAGCTTCATATAATGCAGTACAACATAACTTTATTGGGTGTATGGCAGTCCAGGGATTAAGATGTGTACTATATAACTGCAACATCCCTGGTTTGATTTTACAAGGGTCCTTCTTTTGCATGTAACTTCCCTCTCTCTGTCCCCGCTTGTCCTGTCTAAATCAACATGGTAAATCATCAAATACACATTCAGAGCACAAGAAACTGTGGTCGTAAATACTCAGATGTCTCCTCTGCTCTCTGTGATTGGTGTTTTGTCATATAAGTGGGAGTTCCAGGTCGGCCCATGTGAGGGGATTGAAATGGGGGATCATCTCTGGATGGCCCGTTACATTCTTCACCGTGTCTGTGAAGACTTTGGGGTTGTTGCCTCCTTTGATGCTCAACCCATCAAGGGAAACACTGCTACATCAGGCTGTCACATCAATTTCAGCACCAAAGAGATGAGGAGCGAAGGGGGGCTTCAGTAAGTTTAGACCACTGAGTGACCCACTGCCAATATCCAAAATACACCTATCCTGTCCTCCTGTGCAAGTGGACATTTAAAAATATATGGATAAAAAACCCTGTTTTCTATGAAATTACAGGTACATTGAAGAGGCAATCAAAAGGCTCAGCAAGCGTCACTCTCAGCACCTCCGTGTCTACGATTCACACAATGGTGCTGACAACATGAGACGCCTCAACAGTCAGAGCACTACCTCCGATTTCCATTACTTCTCTACAGCTGTATCCTCTCGTGCTGTTAGTGTTCGCATTCCAGGTCATGTCAGTCAGATGGGCTGTGGGTACTTTGAGGACAGACGTCCTGCTGCCAACTGTGACCCCTACCTTGTGATGAGAGCCTTGGTTGAAACCTGTCTGCTAGAAACCCCAGAGGAAAATGATGATGATGTGGGGAAGATTATGGCTTCCTAAAAGGGGAGAAAGACACCACAAAGTGCAAAAATGTATTGGCAACTTTGCATGTACTCATGTGCCTTTGTGAGTCTGTAAAGAAATATGACACATTTGAAGTCTAAATGAAATGAGCTGAAAAAATAAAGAATAAGATCAATTATAAATTACTCTGACATCAGGCCAGTTTTTTTTCTCCTGCAGATAAATGTTCTCATGAAATTTATTTGTACACTTTTTCATTAGGTAAACTTGAGAATGTGAAGTAAAAATGCCAGAAAAAATGGCATTGTATGTTTCTGCAAACCATGGATAGCCTATGGATTACCTTTTTACATTATTATGTAAGGGATAAACAATTTTACATTTTAACAATGCTGTAGTTAACTTGTCAAGTCTAGGCATAAGAAATGGTTATGGTCAAGAAAACATAATGTTTGGGCTTAAAAAAATACACTTTTGTTTGCACAACCAAGACTGGAAATACCACCAATGATCAGTAAAAAACAGCTGCTTTTTACAGCGCTATCTCTGTTACAGAAACAATGATGGGTCACTAAAAACAAACTAAAGTTTGGAAGCTCATATATACTACGTCACTGTTGATATCCTCTAACGTACAAATGGAATTGGTTGTGGTTTGCAGAAACACACAATGCCAATTCTTTCTTCTAGCACGTGGGCTGAAGCAAGCACAGTGCCATAATACATCTGCATTGCAAACAGAGACTGGGTCAAAGAATATTATGGACTCAGTAGCAATGAAGCAAACAGCTTATAGCCTCCAACAAAATCATACTGGACAAAATAAATTGTGGCCACATGTAACTTTACACTATAATTAATAATGAGAAAGAGCTGCTGCGATGGAAACACACAAACATGCGTGTTATTATTTTTATTTTGTGTATGTGTTAAATGTTCACGTTTGCTTCTTCTGTCCTGTTGTGTCTTGTTTTGTGACGTATTGCCATAACTGCCCTTCCTTGGATGGTTGAGTTGCTTTTAGAAATACAAACGTTACAGAGTTAGAAATACAAAGTACTGCATGGCAAGCAGTTTAGAATACAACAGGATTATCATAGGTCATATTACAGTAATATGTCCACAAATATAAATTCAGGGAATGGACTCAATGAAATAATAACCCATATTTTTTAAAATGTAGATGAATAAGTTGAATATTTGTTGTTCACAATCATTCCAGTGTACCAGGTGGCTGGGAGAGAGTCAGTGGAAGGGTAGTGATGCGTGATGGATGACATCCTTTGGTATGAGCCATCATTTGTGACTAAATAAGCCTGTTTAGCTCCACTCACACCCTGTGACATTTATATTCAGTAAATCTTAGGTAAATATATGAACAGATGGATTTGCTGTCCTTGTTTTATCTTAGTGTTACTCCCAAGTGTTAGTTGTTAAATGTATTATCTGTTGTATTTGTTTAGTCTATCTTATTTTATATTATTTTCAGTACTTTTACTTTTGCCTGTTTGTAGGCCTTTGTAATCACATAGCTGAAAAAGGTGCTGTGTAAATAAACTTATTGTGATCTGATGCCGCCAACATAAGCAGCTCAGTCCCAACAGGACCACTAATGGCACATATTGAGTGGAAAACTGAAGAAATTGGACAAAGAAAAGTAAAAGTAATTCTGGACGAAAGTAATATAATTTAAAATTGCCTGACATGTCAACCTTCTCTTTGCGCCGCGCGTCTCCGTTGTGTTGTCAGCAGTAAGTACAGTACCAGCTGGTGGTGCATGTGGTCCCCAGTAAATCTGCTCTGCGCTCGGAGCAGCAACACAGATCAGTCCGACAGCGCTCTCCACTCAGAGCGACTCTTTTGCCTGACTACTTTTTCTCTGTTATTTGTACGAATGGATGTTTTTCTTGTCTTTTTTGTTTGACATATGGCCGAGCGCAGGATCAGGCAATGAATAACACAACCGGCTTGGTACCGGTAGGAGCTGGCAGTCGGGAGGAGTTACCGGCGCACCGAGCTTTAACGGGCTGCATCCTGGCGCTGCTTATCATTTGGACGCTTTTCGGCAACTTCACGGTGTGCGCAGCCGTTTGTCGCTTCCGGCACCTGCGCGCCAAAGTAACCAACATCTTCATCGTGTCCCTGGCTCTGTCAGACCTCCTGGTCGCCGTGCTGGTGATGCCGTGGAAAGCTGTGGCTGAGGTGGCTGGTTTCTGGCCGTTTGGAGGGTTCTGTAAGACCTGGCTGGCCTGCGACATCATGTGCTCCACGGCCTCCATCCTCAACCTGTGCGTCATTAGTGTGGACCGATACTGGGCCATCTCCAGCCCTTTTCTCTACGAGAGGAGTATGAACAGGAAAGTAGCGTCTGTTATGATCGGCGTGACCTGGACAGTGTCCGTGGTCATTTCCTTTGTTCCCGTGCAGCTGAACTGGCACCGGGCGGAGATGGATGATCCGGCTGGGGAGGATTTGGCGCTTCACGATAAGAGTGTTGATGGGAGCTGTGACTCCAGCCTGAGCCGCACTTATGCCATCTCCTCGTCCCTCATCAGCTTCTACATCCCCGTGGCTATCATGATAGTCACATATACCCGTATCTACCGGATAGCCCAGATGCAGATCCGGATGATATCCTCCCTGGAGCGGGCGGCGGTGCACGCGCAGAGTTGCCGCTTGGACGCACCTGAACTATATCCTCACCTGTGCACGGAAATCGGTGCCAGCTCATATCAGTCTCAAATCGATCTTCATCCTGATTCTCAGCGCTCTAATCGGGAGCTCACAGTCTCCATCAGAAAAGAGACCAAAGTCCTCAAAACTCTGAGCATCATCATGGGTGTTTTTGTCTGCTGCTGGTTGCCGTTCTTTGTCCTGAACTGCGCTCTGCCCTTCTGTCCCGGACCAGGGGCACCGGGGGCCCAGCGGGGTCCTCACTGCGTCAGCGAGAAAACCTTCGATGTGTTCGTGTGGATCGGCTGGAGCAACTCATCCCTTAACCCAGTCATCTATGCGTTTAACGCGGACTTCAGAGACGCGTTTCTGCGCCTGTTGCGCTGCCGCGGAGGAGGCTGCTGCGCCGCGGTGAGCGCAGTAGTGGAGACGGTGATGGCGAGCAACGAGGCCGGACACCTGCAGCAGGATAGCCCGCTCAACGTGAGGCTGGCCGTCTCCTGTGCCATGACCACCAGGGGAAGCGAGGACAGTGGGAACACAACGGTGACTTTGTTTTGTCACGGTGGGACAAGCTCGGAGCTGGTGACGGACACTGAGGAAAGTAACGACAAAGACAGACTGACGCAGATACCTATATAGGTGACACTATTCATGATATGCCATGTGCGGGGTCAGAGAGCAGGTAAACTATGCAGAGGAGGTGGATAATGATGTAGAAGGCCTACAGGGACAGGAAACAGCAAATGCAAAGTGAATTTACTCTCAAGGTCTTCAAACATCTACATGAACATAAACAGCTACATGTGCAGACAAAAATACTCCACCTTAGAAGATCAGATTAACACCCATTATCCATTACCATGCATGCAGTGGCGCCCCCAAGTTGGAGTCAGGTGATAGGATTGCTAGCAATATCTTGAAAAACGAGGCAACCTGAGGCATCCATTGGTACCAACCATGTCGGCAAAGCTTGTCGGGAAAGGGGCTAAATAATGTACCAAATTTAGGTTAAAGTTTGTTCAGCTGGGAGCAACTGGCATGGCAGTTTTCACAGGGGGGCCCTTGAACTCTCACCTCAAGATAGCTGAATGAAAATGTGTTGTATGGGTACCCATGAGTCTCCCCTACATTTGTGTAGGCTTTTTCCCAGGAAATATTTTGTTCATTTGTTTGTTCCTACACAAAAAATCCAACACTTTCTTATTCAGACCTCGTCACATATTGATGTTTTGTCCCGGATTTTCCACATTGAGGTACAATGTGCAAGGTACCCTGGGTGCGTTGGTTGGTGACATTCTTGGATGCTGTATCAACTTCAGCCTGATACATGCATTGTCTGTTTTCTAAATACACTTCCGTTTTCACAGGAAATGTACAGTTTGCATACAGTCCCTTTCAAAATAAACTCTTCACTATGTCGGTACAACCCCGCAAATTGACATTTTTTTTCCTTCAACAACAAACGCACGTGGTTACATTTTGCAACACATACACATTGAGTTCAGGCAACAAAAGCATGTTGCACTGGCCTGGGTAAAAGTCCGTGGTTGCTGGATTCATCCACCAGCCCTCCCACCAACCCCACTTGAACTTCCGCTGCCTTTACTTTCGCTGTTGTCCCGCCATGTTTTCCCCTGACACTGCCGAGCGCCATTAAACTATAATGACGACTGGCCGCATTTCATGCCATTGTTCATGTGTCTGATGCCTGTAGTCATTGCCCAAGCGCCAGATTTCGACGACTTCGGAGTGAGACCGGGTTGATAAATCACCTAACACATGTAAAGTTACATAACACATTAAAACAGGGTTGTACAATTCAAAATGCACTGTACAGATATTAGACTATGCACATCAGGTTATCAGCAACATTAACTACAAAATAAGAAACCAAAGTATAGTATGCGATTCCTCAACTCTCATATTGACATAGTTTTCAACTAATCTAAATACTTTGACAGCATCATCAAATTCCTGAATTCAGTCATGGCTTTTGGTTTTGGTGTGCCACCCCAAGATTCTCAGTGGCTCCATCTCCCCACTGCTATAAAAAAATCTGGGGGCACCACTGCATGCATATCAGAAACACATAATGTTATTTTCTTCTTTTTTTAGGACAATATTTGCCTTCATGAGCACAGTAAATCTTTGGGGATAATTGAAGGTGTTTTTTATTTGTCTGTGGGCTATATACAGTATGACTCATTTTGTACACATGGATGTTTACCCAACAAAGACTTTGTAGTCTTTGTAAAATGAATTATTTATTTTTTGTGATCCTGCAGAATTCAGTGTGAGGACTACTTCTGCTTTTCCTTAGCAGGACAAATAAAGACAGGTCCAGATCTGCGTGGGTAGATAAAGTGAGGCCAGATTAAGATAGGAGAGGTGTTGACTTACAGTATTTTTTCTGAAGTTAAGTAATTTCATATTTTTTTAATCCATGTGGCACTTATCTGTCAGTTTCTAAGAATCAGCCACAAATGCCAAATAGGATGGTAACAGTCTTAGAGGTAGGTGCAATCACCTCTTCCTCATTCATAGTTTTCTCAGTGTCAGTGTTAGATAAGAATGATGCTGTGCATTGATGATAAAACACCTTAAAGTCACATTGCTGAGTTAATATTTCTGATTTCAAGATTATTCTCGGATGACATTAAACCCGAACAAGTGAAATATCTCAACCATATTGCTGGGAAAACACAGACCATAAAGATTTACCTGTGAAGGTGGGTTTTGTCAGCTTCCATTCAAGACCTTTCCTCAGCAGCAGTGAAGACAAAGTATTGAAGACTGAAGACAGCAGGACAGATAATTGTGGCATGGATTCAAATGTAGCTGATTCTGTGAACTCCACTCCAGCATAGCATAGCAAAAATGGATTTCAAGATTAGCAATGCTGTTAACACCGAAATCGTACCCTACCTATCTTATTTATTTAAAAATAGGAACATCAGACAATATTTTTTTGTGAGTCAAAATTTCTCATCCTCAACATTTAATTGTTATGGTTTCAGAATGATGAAGACAGTTAAAGAACATTTAGATACAAAACAGAGTGTAGGCTCTACAGGATAATTTTTTTCCTGGCAACTATCATGTTTTTCCCAAGTGGAGAGCATGCCCCAGGACCCCCCTATGTTTGGGCTGAGCCCTGAAAGTTTACAATGTCTGGCTCCGCCCCTGCTCTCCATAGCGAGACAGCTATCAGAGGTCAGGATTTCTCTGAATCTCTAGAAATGGGATTATGTAACTAACTCACATTAGCACCCGTCAGCTGTGCATCTTGTATGGATGCAGTGTGCACTCTGTTTCCCCCCTCTGTCCTCTGGAAAAAACAACCATGAATAATTTGTAAAGGTTGTTCCTGTGAAAGATGCCCTGGCCAGTGAGAACATAGAAGCTTTTACAGTGACAGCCCTGCTCTGTGATGAACTCTCTGCAGATTAACATCTGTTCATTTTTGTTTAATGAGACCTCCTTGTTAGTGTTAAATATGAACCTGCGTGTTACAGCCTCAAGGAGCCACTACCCTTAATGGAGCTGACAAGAATAATGACTCCATCCTGAGCTGTAAATATTTTGGTGGTTGTGATTCCAGTATGGAAATATTCCTTTATGGAAATACTTTCTCTTCTTTTGCTGAGAGCTGGATGAGAAGATGAATACTACTCTTGTCTATGAGCTTTACAACTATCAGCAAGAAAGGAAATAATTGTTTGACATTTCCCAAAATGTCAAATTATTCTTTTACAGTACACCACACATTATGGATCATTGCAACAACTGATGGACATTATTAATTTCCAGTTTCACTGAAAATGCAGTTGTCACATGTATCGTCTCTTTTAGGCACCAGTGATAACATGTTTGTGTTTATTCAGATTATGCAGTAGTGAGAAAACACAGAGATGCTACAGTATATTGTATAACTGTTTGCAGAAAGGAAGCATGTGCAGCCTTTTGGTTTTCACTGTGTAATGGGCTTGTAACCTACATAGGACTTCCATCAGCTGTAGGCGTCTCCAGCTGTAGGTAACGTAAGAATAGTCACCATACCAAAGAGGATTAATAAAACATAGGTCAAATACATTTTTAAAAATGTGTCTCCCATTTACAGCCGTTGCATGTAGGTTACTGAGTGAGAGAAGTCATTACAGGCCTGAATGAAGTGCAGTTCACAGAAAAGTGTGCAGGGTCCTTTCTCTGAGGAATGATAAAGTGATTACATCTATTAATATTGACTGACTAATGGCTATCCTTGTTTCATTCTTCCTCTGTTTGGTTCACGTGTCACCCAAAAAGAAGCTCACTTCCTTAAGAGTGGTTGTGTTTGCCTGGGGAAACTTTTAATGGGCCACACCTGCCCACCTTCAGTGTGTGAGAGTTAAATGAGCCCTCGAGGCTGCAGGCAGGACAGAAAGAGAGAGAGTGAGACGGGGAGTTTAATTCGAGCTGTTACTTAAGGTGTCATCCAGTGAAGGTACTGTAACTCCTGCTCTGAAGCCTCATCATTCAGGGATTTTCAAGAGGAGTTTCTGAAAACCTTATCCCACTTTAACAAGACAATATTAGTGTAAGATGAGCGGAGATGCCCTGCTGAAGAACAAATTAAGTTTACTGTTAAATTAAAGCATATTTGTATATGAGTTTATCATGTGCAGTATTATGATGAATGAATCAACACACTGCTGGAGGAATATAGAGTAGCCACTTTTGTTGTGATGGCAAAAAAATGAAGGCCTATTAAAGGATTACTTACCAGAAAATCATCATTTGTAAATCAATTACATAAAATTTTTGAAGAGAACTTTGTTTTTCTCACATGCCTTTGCAGTAAACGAAGAATCCAAAAGAGACAAACATTTTTGATGAATGGAAGTCATAGGGGTCCACGTTTAACAACATTCATGTCGCGGGGGGGCTGGAGCCTATCCCAGCTGACATCAGGCGAGAGGCAGGGTACACCCTGGACAGGTCGCCAGACTATCGCAGGGCTGACACATAGAGACAGACAACCACTCACGCTCACATTCACACCTACGGACAATTTAGAGTTATCAATTAACCTTATCCCCCGTTTAACAACAGCAAAACTTAATTAAAACATTCATTTACAAGCTCTCTCACAATTAGTCCATATCCATTGAGTGCACAGTTGCCCACGTACAGTTTCACATGGTGTGTGTTTGGGATACAGGTCATAGGAAATTGCAGATGAAATAGTCAACTGAACCCATTAAGAAGATCAATGTATTTAGACAGAGTTTTTGTGAATTTGATAGTACGATTGCTTTATTGAAAGTACAGTAGTACCATTGCCAATAGTAGTAGAATGGTATCATTTGTCAAACAGAATGACACACTGACAGTTTCCGTGATTATGTACAGCATACTATACCATGACTTAGTCATACCAAAAATTAGAAAAAAACCCCAACATTCGGCCACAGGGGGAGCCACAGCGATTGGTTGCATTTTAGCCATTTTTAAGCATTTTTCTGTTGTTATAGCGCCACCCAGTTGCCAATTAGAGTTAAATTTCTCCAGTCACCTTGAGGCGTCCTGTTCTACATATCTACCAAGTTCAGTAAAAATCGATATGGTGGCTGGAGTAGATAAGAAATTAACTCTCTAGCGCCCCCATTTTATTTGATGGGGTCAATAGTGGAGGGGTCCCCTCAGATTATGTGTGGTCATATGCCTACAAAGTTGCGTGGTGATCAGTGAAACCCTTGAGATGTTATACACCTTTATGTGATGAGCCAAGCCCTCCACAATATACATTGCCTTATAGAAGATCAGTTTTAGTAAGTTTTCCAACTTTTGCCAAGAGGGAACTTTAGATATTGGTCCCTAGATTATGTTCACCGAGTTTCCTGCAGATCGGTCAAACTTCCTGGGAAGAGATCGATTTTAAGT